GTTATAAAAACTATAAACTTATAGCCTCGAGCTTTTTTTTTTATAAATAAAGTTAGCTAGGGTACTTTATAATTAAGATAAAATATAAGAAGTTTATAATAGCGGCTTTCTTAGCCTTAGCTTTCTTAGCTTTCTCGGCCTCTTAGTTCTTTAAGGGATTAACGAACTCGTATTAAATAAGTAAGCTAATAATTAAGAATTAATAATATTAGGCTTAGCCCCGACGGTAGAGTTATCGGCGGTAACCTAGGCTTAATTAGTAAGCTATTATAAGTTAGTTAATAATTCGTTATAAGTACGTATTATAAACTAAGAAAATACTTATAGCGGTACCCTCGGCGGTAGCGCTAGGGGGGATTAATAAAGATATCTAGAAATATAAGCGGACATAATAATATAGCGACCTTATTACGCGAGGCCGCTAACTATATAAATATATATTATTATTATTATTAGTAGTAGTAATAATAGCGGCGGCACGGGGGCGGAGGTTATATATTTATATTTTCTTATATTAATAATATAACTTTATAACGCGCTCGCTCTAAGATTAATAAAAATACTTATAGGTTATTATTATAATAATTTTTAAAAAAAGAATATACAACTATAATTAATTATTTCTAAGATTATTATAATAAAACCTCGGGCTATATATTTATTTAAAAAAATAAAATTAAAAAAAAAAAATTTAAGATTAATAATATAACGAAGGTTACTAATAATATTAACTAATTAATCTATTACGCGGTTAGTATATTATAAAGAATAAAATAAAAAAAAGTAAAAAAATAATTAAAGTCGATATAAAGATTAAGCGATATATTTAAAGATAGAATTATATATAAATATATAATATATTCGCTATAAGGGTATTATTAGTATATAAATACTAAGGATAATATATATAAAAACGGGCGCTTTATTAAACGAATATTATAAAGTAAGGTTATTTATAGGTCTTAAGGTAGCTAGGTAGCGCCGCTATAGCGCGCTATATAGTATAAGAGGTATTTACTTAGATTATATATAATTATATACTTAAGGAACGCGTAAAATAAAAAGTCTTTATATAAATAGAATATTCTTAGGAAGATTAAGAGATTAATATAGTTATTAAAGACCCTTACCTTATAGCGACTTAGTAATATACTCTTAGCCTTTATATATATTTTTACTCTCTTTACGAACCCTAGTTCTAATAATTAGGTATATTTTAAAAAATACTTACTTATATTATTAAATTTTAGATTTTTTTATCGGACTTTATAAATATTTTCTTAATTAATTCTATAATAATTTTTTTAATAATTAATTTAATTTTTTTAAGGATATTAGCTATATCTAGCATAAATCTAACTAGTTTTATTTCTTTTTTATTTCTATTTTTTTTTTATTTTTTAATTATTATTTATATAATAAATTTATTAAGCCTTAATATAAGATAACTAACTTTATTAAATATAATTTCTTAGGAGGTTTTTTTCTTTAATTTTATTATAATTTTAGGGCTAATTAGATTATTAAATATACTCGCGCTATAGTTTAGGTAATAAATACTTTATTTAAGGCTAGCGTGGCCTTTATTAATATTTATTAGCTCCTTAAGGGTAGCGCTATTGTCCTAGATCTAGGTCGATATTATACTTAAAAGGAGTTTAATATTATATACTTAATTTTAGTATTTTTATTAATTTTAAACGCGATTTCGTGAAATTATAGCCGATTTCTAGTTATATAGAAAGTTTCTTTTAAAATTTATTTTAAAACTTAATTTTATATATAAAAAAAATTTAACTAAGAATAAAATAAAAATTAATATAATATAATTATAAAGATTAAAAAACTATATAAAGATCTAAGCTAGATATAATATAGAGATATATAAGAGTATTAAAAAATATTACTTAATTTATCTTATTATAATAAAGCTAAGTTAGCTTATAAATAAAACTAAAAATATATTAAACTACCTTAGGATTTAAGTTAGATTTATATAAAAATAACTTAAATAATAATAATATATTTATATTAATATTTATAATTATAACTCTAAGGGTATTTAAGTTTATAATCTAAGGGTTTCTAGCTTATATTTACTTTAGTAATTAATTAAAGTTATTTCTTATTTATTTTTTAAATTATTAATTTAATAATAAATTAAAAATAAACTTAAAAATATTATTTTTATTATTTTTATTTTCTTTAGCTAAGGTTTAGGCTAAATATAAAATAAAACGCGTTTTTTTAAAAAGAAATATCTTAGATTTAAATTAAACCTTTATAAAAAAAGTAAAATAAAAATATTTCTAAAATAAACTTTTATAGCTTCTAACGCGGTTAATAATACGGGCCTTAAGGTAAATTTATATAGTAATATAAATAATATTAGTTTTAAAAAAGTTAAGAATTAGCTATAAATAAGCTAAGATATAGGACTTATAAAATATTTAGTATTAAGTAGCTTATTTATAAAGGACTTATATTATATATTTATAATATAAGCGATATTAATAATAGCTTTAGCTATAATAAGTTTAAAAAATTATAAAAAAGATTAATATAAAAATTAATATAAGTCTAGCTTAGATATATATAAGAATATAATTATTAATATATTAATAATAATAATTAAAATAAGAACTTAAGCTACCTATAAAAAAAATTAATAAAATAAGGATTTAATACGGATTTAATTAAGAAATATATATTATAAAAAATATAAATAAAGAATAATAAAATTAAGTTTATAAAAATAATTTTTTATATTAATAATATTAATATATATTTTATATTAATATTTTTTATAATAATAATTATTAATTTTATAAAAATCTTAATTTTTATATAAAAAAGAATTAATATAATATAATAAGATTTAAATTAGAATTAAAAAAAAAAAAAAATTTATATATATATAATAATAATAAATAAAATTTATATATAATAAAAATTAATTTAATAAAAATTTAATTTAATTTTTTTTTAAATTTATTATAATAATAAAATTATAATAAAATAATATATTTATAAAAAATTAATATATAAATAAAATAAGCTTTATTATAAAACTAATATTATAAAAATTAATATTTTATTTTATATTTTTTTATTATAAATAAAAAAAATTATATTTATTTTTATTAAAATTTTTTTTTTTAAAATTATTTAATTTAAATAATTTAATTAATTAATAAAAAATCTTTATTAAAAATATATAATTTATTATTATTATTATTATTATTAATATAAATTTTTTTTTTAAAAAAATATAAATTAATTTTATATTAATTATAAATTATATTATATTTTTATATAATTAATATATTTAAAATAATAATATTTATAATATTAATAAATTTATATATTTTCTTTATATAATTTATAATAATAAATTTTTATTTTAATAATTAATTTAATATTATATAAATATTTAATTATTTTTAAATTATTAATATATAAAATAATTATAATTTTTATAATTAATTTTTTTATTTAAAATAATTTTAATAAAATATATATATTTTATTATTTTATTTTATTAAAAAAAAAAATTTAAAAATTTATTTTTAATTTAAATATAATTTAAATTTAATTTTAATTTTTTATAACTATATTATTTTAAAAATTTAACTTTTTAATATTTTAAATTATAATTTTTTATTTTTATATTTATTACTTTATATATATTTTTTAAATTTTAATTTTATATTATAATAAATATAATTAATATAAATTATAAATTTTTATTTAAATTATTAATAAATTATTATTTATTTTATTTTATTTAAAATAAAAATAATATATTATTATAATTTAATTTAAAATTAAATATATTTTAAAAATTATTTATTTAAATTATTAAATTTTAAATTTTTTTATTAAATTTTATAAATATTTTATAATTAATTTTTTAATAATTAATTTAATATTTTTAAAAAATTAATTATAATTAAAATAATCTTAATTAATTTATTTTTTATTTTTTATTTTTTATTTATATTTTATAATTTTATATTATATTATAAATTTTTAAAATTTAAATATAAAATTATTAATATTTTTTAATATAATATTTTTTAATAATTTTAATTAATTTTATTATAATTTTAAAATAAAATAAATTATTAAATATATTTATATTATAATTTAAATAATATATATTTTATTTATAATTAATATAATTTTTATTAATAATTATTAATATTTTAAAAATAATATAATTATTTTAATTTTAAATTAATAATATATTTAAAAAAAATAATATTATAAACTTAATTTTAATATTTTTATTTAATTTAAATATAATTTTTTAAAATTATAATTAATTTATAATTATATAAAAAGTTTTTTTTTAAAATAAAATATTTAAATAAATATAAATTATTAAAAAATTTCTTATAATTAATTAAATAATTATTTAAGGTTATTTAATTAATAAAAAAATATAAAATTATTTATATTTTAATATATAAAAAATTAATTATATTATAAAATTTTTTTTTTTTTAAGTATTAAAAATAATTAAATAAAGGCTATTTAAATAAATATAATTAAGCTTTAATTTATTAATTAATAATTATATATAATATTATTATATTATATTATATATTATATTATAATCTATATTATATAATATTATATATTATTTTATTTTATTTAATAAATATTAATTAAATAAATTATAGTTTTTTTAATATATATTTATAAAATTAATATTATAAAAATTATTATTTTATTTTATATTATTTTATAATAAAAAAAATTATATTAAGATTTTTATTAAATAAATTTTTAAAATTATTTAATTTAAATTAATTAATTAATTAATTAATTAATAAAAAATATTTAATAAAAATATACAATTTATTATTATTATTATATTTATTAATTTAATATTTTAAAAATAATTTAAATATTTTAATAATTATAATATTATAATTTATTTAATTTATATTATTTTATTTTATTAAAAACTAATATAATTTTAATTTAAGCTAGGGTTAATAATTAAGGTCTTCGGACCTTATTAGGTAGTTAGTTACGTGGGTGTCCCACTAACTAGGACTAAAGGCTAGTAGTTCCGTATTTTAATATCTACGCCGATATCGCTCCCACAATCAATCACCGCAGTTTGCTATCATCGACTCATCGCTGGGCGGCCGAAAACCTCGAACCATGCGATTATAGCCACCGAACCTCGCCCTTCCTAGCAATCGTTCATTGCCTCTAGTTGTCTATACGTGAACAACGAGGCCGATTTCCCGTGTGCATTCGCAATGGTCGACTCGAGCAGTACCGGACCGGAGCGTGTGTCCATCCTCGGGAAGCCAAACATAGTGATTGATGATGGACTATGGCTCAACTATGTGGCGAGGGACCTTCTCGACAACGTAACCTCATCCACATACGTTGTGATAACCGATACGAATTTATTCGATTCCTATGTGCCACCATTTGTGCAAAGCTTCAACCACGAGCCCGGGGCGGAAGCCGCACGATTGCTCACCTACGCCATTCCACCTGGTGAGGCGTCGAAGACTCGAGAAACGAAAGCGGAAATCGAAGATTGGTTACTCTCGGAGCAATGCACGCGAGACACTGTCATTATCGCCCTCGGTGGTGGCGTCATTGGTGACATGATTGGATATGTCGCCGCAACTTTCATGCGAGGTGTACGATTCATCCAGGTACCGACGACTTTGCTGGCTATGGTGGATTCATCCATTGGTGGCAAGACCGCCATTGACACGCCGATGGGGAAAAATCTTGTTGGTGCTTTCTGGCAGCCAGAACGCATATACATCGACCTTGCTTTCCTGCAGACTCTCCCTGCTAGAGAGTTCATTAATGGCATGGCTGAGGTGATCAAGACTGCAGCTATCTGGGACCACGACGAATTCGCGACATTGGAGCTGAACGCCCCCAATATTTTGTCTTGTGTTCGCGCAGAAGGTGTTGGTCGACTCAACCCAATCAAAGATGTGTTGCGACGCATCATCAGCGGCTCTGCCCGGGTCAAAGCCGAAGTGGTTTCTAGCGACGAGCGGGAGGGCGGCTTACGCAATCTTCTCAATTTCGGACACTCTATCGGACATGCCATAGAAGCCATATTGACCCCTCAGCTCCTGCATGGAGAAGCTGTGGCTATTGGTATGGTAAAGGAGGCTGAGTTGGCTCGGTTTCTCGGAGTACTTCGACCAGGCGCCGTCTCGCGCCTCGCCAAGTGCATTGCCAGCTTTGACCTCCCAACATCTCTAGAAGACAAACGAGTCATCAAGCTGACGGCCGGGAAAAAATGCCCCGTGGATGTGCTGCTGAAGAAGATGGCGGTCGACAAGAAAAACGAAGGCAAGCTCAAGAAAATCGTCTTGCTTTCGGCAATCGGAAAAACCCATGAGCAGAAAGCCAGCGTTGTTGAGGATCGATGCATCAGATTAGTGTTGTCTTCATCTGTCGTCGTACAACCCGGTGTTCCCCGTGACCTCGATGTCACTGTGACACCCCCTGGGTCCAAGAGCATCTCCAATCGCGCTTTGGTGCTCGCAGCGCTGGGGCGAGGCCAATGTCGTATTAAGAATCTCTTGCATTCTGATGACACCCAGTACATGCTTTCGGCAGTCGGTGAACTCGGGGGAGCTTCCTACTCCTGGCAGGACGCTGGGGAGGTACTCGTGGTGGATGGCAAAGGGGGCAATTTGCAGGCCAGTAACAACGAAATTTACATCGGAAACGCTGGCACAGCATCCCGCTTCCTCACCACTGTGGTCGCCTTATGCTCACCAACTGACACCGCCACGGCTACTGTACTTACAGGCAATGCGCGGATGAAGCTTCGACCCATCGGGTCCTTGGTCGAGGCTCTCAGGGGGAATGGAGTGGACATTACCTACCTTGAGAAAGAGTCAAGTCTGCCGCTACGTGTTGGTGCATTAGGCGGGTTTGAGGGCGGCGACATAGAACTTGCCGCTACCATTTCGTCCCAATATGTGTCTTCCATTCTGATGGCAGCGCCTTACGCCAAAAAACCTGTCACATTACGGCTGGTAGGAGGCAAGCCCATATCACAGCTGTACATCGACATGACGATTGCCATGATGGCTTCATTTGGTATTACGGTCACCAGGTCGAGTGAAAGCCCCCATACCTACCACATTCCGAAGGGCACCTACACCAACCCGGCCGAGTACACCATTGAGAGCGACGCCAGTTCAGCAACCTATCCCCTCGCCGTTGCTGCCATCACCGGTACTACATGTACGGTACCTAACATCGGTTCGAAATCCCTACAGGGAGATGCACGCTTTGCAGTGGATGTTCTCCGCCCTATGGGCTGCGCTGTCGAACAGACTGATTACTCAACCACCGTGACAGGGCCTGCTCCGGGTCAACTACAGGCACTCCCCCAGATCGATATGGAGCCTATGACAGATGCCTTTCTCACAGCCTCCGTTCTCGCCGCAGTCGCCTCTGGCACCACTCAGATCACAGGCATCGCGAATCAGCGTGTCAAGGAATGCAATCGCATTGCAGCGATGAAAGATCAGCTTGCAAAGTTTGCGGTACAATGCAATGAACTTGAAGATGGGATACAGATCGTAGGTCGACCAATTTCAGATCTGCAGAAGCCATCCAGCCAAGTATACTGCTATGATGATCATCGAGTTGCCATGTGCTTCAGCGTACTATCAGTTGCAGTACCCGAGATCACTACAGTCAGTGAGCGCGAGTGTGTTGGAAAAACGTGGCCAGGGTGGTGGGATGTGTTGTCTCAGTCTTTCGGGGTTCGCCTCGACGGCTCCGACCCCGATGAAACTCTCCATCAGCCACTGAGCCTTGACAAGGCGAAGGATCGGTCCATATTCATAGTCGGCATGAGGGGCGCAGGCAAGACGACTGCGGGGCGCCAAATGGCTCGCATGCTGCAACGCACCTTTGTGGATTTAGATCAAGAGCTGGAAAGGCGCTCGGGAGCGACGATTCCAGAAATCATCAACGGGCCTCGTGGGTGGCAAGGTTTCCGTCAGGACGAGCTCGCATTGCTTCGCGACGTTATGGAGAATCAGCCAGAAGGTCATGTGTTCTCCTGCGGGGGCGGCATCGTTGAAATAAGCGAAGCAAGAGAGTTGCTCAAGGCATATGGTGCTAAAGGAGGCCTTGTCATCCTGGTTCACCGCAATACCGACCAAGTTGTGGATTACCTCATGCAAGACAAGACGCGGCCAGCCTACACCACTGAGATCAGACAAGTTTACGAGCGTCGCAGACCCTGGTACAACGAGTGCAGCAATTACCTTTACTATAGCCCGCATGCGCATAGCACGGCGTCGCAGCGAGACATTCCACCTGACTTCAAACAGTTCTTGGAGCTCATCGAAGGCAGAAGCGCCCATTGGGAGGCGATACGAAACAAGCCTAACAGCTTCTTTGTGTCTTTGACGTCGCCCAACCTTTCCGACTCCCTTCACACACTGCCTCGTGTTGCTGTTGGGTCGGACGCTGTGGAATTGCGTGTCGATCTGTTGGACGACCAGACCCATGATGGTATAGTTCAAGCAGTGTCCATGGTGCGGAAAGCTACAGGCAAACCAATCATATACACAGTTCGTTCTGTTTCGCAAGGCGGTAAATTCCCTGACAATGCACATACCGCGCAGCTTGAGCTTTACCTCCTGGCGTTGCGCTTAGGCGTGGAGTACCTGGATGTCGAGGTGACACTGCCGCAGAGCGCGCTTGACGTTGTGACTCAGTCGCGCGGTTTCACAAAGCTCATCGCATCCCATCACGATCCCCAAGGGGTCTTGTCTTGGAGGAATGCGTCATGGGTCGCGTTCTACAACCGGGCGCTGCAGTTTGGAGACATTATCAAGCTTGTTGGTAGCGCTGGAACCATTGAAGACAACTACGATCTAGCCAGGTTCAAGGCTAAGATGATGACCGCGCAGAGAACACCGATCATCGCCCTGAACATGGGTAACATGGGCAAACTGAGCCGCGTTCTCAATGGCTTCCTCACGCCAGTGTCACACCCCGAGCAACCAACCAAAGCGGCTCCGGGACAACTTTCAGTCACGGAGATCAACCAAGGATTAGCTCTGCTGGGTTTGATGGAGCCCAGGGATTTCTACTTATTCGGCAAGCCGATTGCGGCGTCTCGTTCGCCAGCCTTGCATAATACTCTTTTTGAGAGAGCTGGACTTCCTCATCGCTATAAGCGCCTAGAGACGGATGATGTGGCAGACTTGGATACGATCCTCCACAGCCCCACGTTTGGAGGTGCATCTGTCACGATTCCTCTCAAGCGAGACGTGATGGACAGAGTTGACCAGTTGACCGAGGCCGCGCGTACTATCGGAGCTGTTAACACCGTTATCCCCATTGGAAGTGGCGAGCCCATAGACAATTGTCGACGGCAGCTTCTAGGTGATAACACCGACTGGAAAGGCATGGTGTTTGTTTTACGCACCAACGGAGTCATCCCCCGCGACAATGCTGGCGCGGCTATGGTCATCGGAGCTGGGGGCACAACAAGAGCAGCCATCTACGCACTCAACTCGATGGGCTTCAACCCCATTCACGTGGTGGCACGAGACCCCAACAAAGTCAAAGCACTGATTGACGACTTCTCGCCCGAGTACGGATTGCACATCCTATGCGAGCGCTCTGAAGCACAGCGGATGAGCAGCGGCCCTACAGTCATCATCAGCACTATTCCCGCGGACAAGGAGATTGACAGCGGTATGCGAGACATACTTGGGGTTGGTCTCAACTTCGCCACTGTCACTGGCAGCGCGCCCAGAGTCTTACTCGAGATGGCTTACAAACCGAGCGTCACTCCAGCAATGGAAATGGCTGAAAATGCTGGGGGTTGGACGACAATTGCCGGTCTCGAAGTTTTGTCCGCTCAGGGGTGGTACCAGGTGAGTTAGGCCGGTTTCTGCGGGTGCCGATGAGATACTTACTATGCGATTAGTTCCAGTCTTGGACCGGTATTTGTCCTCTTTACGCTGATGCCCGGAATGCTGTCCTAGGCCTGGACCCCACGTCTAGTTGAGGATAACTTCTTTAACATCGCAAACCAATGGATTCGACTAGATCTGTTTTCAAAAGAATGTCATCATGCTCTTCCAGAAGACAGCGTACTTCCGGTGGGGCGGGTCCCTTGCTCCTGAACCATGTGTGGGGGGTACCGGCGTTGCCTGAAGAAACTCGCAGTTAATGTAGTGCTGGGTGTTGCATAAGAGTACCGCTGTGGGTTCATAACGCTCAAGTGATCTATAGCCATCGATTTCACGCTGGTCTGATTCGAAACAAATTAATGTCTTGATTCTGGCACTGCCTACAGAGTGGTTGAAATGATTACCATAAACAAGCGCGTGAATAATCTCCGTTGTCTACTCAGCCAAATATTCCAATTGAAATAGCCGACACGGCACTAATGGATACCCATTCCCGCGGAGCCCATCCATCACCCGCACCGTTTTTCCGGGCGCTGATTTGCCGATATGTAACCGGCTGCACGGGCGATAGAGCACTGTAGTGGCAGTGGTCTTGTTACGAATTTCGCAAGATACCGAATGCAATGTGCTAACAGCCAATGTCTTGCGTGTTAGAACCCCCAATTCAGCGCGCACTCAGCGCGCAATGTTCGTTGCTTGTTGCTCGTTGATATCTCTCTACAGTTCTATAGTCTCAACATTTCCACGTATTTCGTCTATCACCTGTCCGCCAAACTCCTCGCTAATCCAATCGACGTACTGAAGCTCAAATACAAAAAGAAGTGGGAGCCAAGTCGAAGCACGGCCGCCAATCTAGACATCATTAGGAATAAGAACACCAGCAGTATGGTACTGTAAGGCCAGCGGGCATTTGCCGATGCTAGGCTGGCCCAACACCACTTGATGACGAGAGGTGACGACTGTCTGTGTCTAGCCAGGTGTCGAGTGACAAATTCGGTTTTGCGATCCAGGGTGGACGAGGGAGTGACGTCAGGAGCAAGGGAACATAATGTCGTGACGTCATGTAAAGGACCCTGCAGGACCCTGAACGCTTTGCCAGCCTTGATTGGGCAGGGGGCTGGGGAACCATCGTTCCACTTGCGTCATGTCATGCAATCCCACCTGCCGTGAGCTGTGGGAATTTTGGAAAGCGACGGCGTTGCATGACGCGCCTTGCGCTGATGGTCCATGGAAGCACCCGCACCGAGTCGGTGCAGGCCGGGTACGTCGCTCAGTTTTCGGGTGGGTGGGCGAACGTGACCCATTCATGCACCACCTCGTCGCCGGCTTTTGCCAGGTAGTTCCATGTCAGGATGACACACACGGTAGTGCCGTGTGAGAGCATCCGCACGGCTGAAGGTTTTTTCCTCTGTACACAGGTCGCACCGAACCTTCTGCTTCCGCGCATTGTGTATCGTGTCCTCGTGACGGGTGAGGTCGTAGGGTCGTGAAAATACAGTGTTGCACGGCTTGCCGGTACTCGGGTTGATACGGTCGCAGCGGTGGGGGCCAGCCTGGCTGTTCACAAGCGACGTGGCCATCCCAATTTCAGGCTGAGTAGGTATGAGTCCATGGGTCTGTCGATGGCCTTCCCGTTTATGTTTCTGAAGTAGAACGGGGGTTTCGAATCGTTGCTTGCAGCCGTGGTAAGTACAAGTATATGTACCACCCTCGGCGCCTGCCCTTGCTGGTCGACGTATGTTCGCGCTAGGATTGATAGTCGACACAGAGTCGGGACTCGATCCGGAGGAGCTCAATCTTGGGGGGGAGGCGGCAGATCCTGGGTGCAGTCGCGGCACAAATGGGTACTGTTGCGGTACCTGTAAGTTGTGGGTAATTTGGGAGTTGGGCACATATCCAAACTGCTCGAGACCCATTCCGTTGGCTCCAGGCATGAAGCTTTGCTGTGGTGCTTGCAAAGACATTGACTTCGGCAACTGCTCCATGTCAAGAGCCATGGAACTCTGCGGAAACAGGGGAAAGTCCGCATCACCTTCCGGGTCGTTAAACTCGAGCATTGCGTCTTTTGGCGAAATTGTTTTTGGCGTTTCGGGCTCTGTATCCGCCAAAGATTGTGACCGAAAGACGGGTGCATCTTGCCTCATGCTGGAAAACTCTCTCACGCGGTCGCCTCCATCGTGAGGCTTGACGCGTGACGGTGCGGGATCATGGCCTGAAGTTTTGGCAAAGGGGGAACTGGGTCTGAACGGCGACGATATCTTATGGTCGGCTGTTGTGACCGATGCGGGTGAATGTGCCATGCCAAGATGCTGGCTGTTGGCAGCGTTAAGCCGCTGGCTGAATATCTCGCTTGGTGGTGATATGGTCGTAAGCCCTTGGGGCTGAGAAGGAGGCGTTGAAGTTATAGCGAAGTTGGGGCTGTATAATTCATCGCCATAGACGTCCGTCATAGTGCGGTCGAGCTTTGGCACGTTACCGTAGCCATCTGAAGATAGTGTAAGCCAACTGTGGACAACGTCGTGCCTGGGAGTCGGGCAATTCTCACCTTTACGTCGTCTATCGCCGACATCTTCACTGCCCGCAGTTGCGGTAGCTGGAGAGTCCCCTGTCACAGAACTAGCGACGGAAGGCGGGTGCGATCGACTAGCCATAGCCATGTCAGGCGCCGGCAGCAAGCCGCGATCTGTACGTGATTGATTGCTACCCGGGCCAGGTATCGTAGCTGGATACGCCATATCTGGAATGGCCTGTTCCAAAGACTGGTATCCAGTATATGTGCCCGCAGCGGACTTAGGTACTTGGAATAGCTGGCTGTTCTGGGAACTCGCATCTTGCGTGTGTATATCGGTCAAATCGTCCCCGGTGGAATCGGTTATGGCAATCTGAGGATTTGAGGTGGACTGGTTGTATGGCGAGGCTGGGCCAGCCGAGCCCATCGAAGACAGCGACGACTCTCGCTGATGTGGCATGCGGCCCATCTTCTCGGGGTTGTGCTGGGCAAGGTTGCCCCAATTGTCATTAGGCATTGATGGGTTTGGGAGAGATCCAGAGGTTAGAGAGTTTATAGGATCGATGGCGCCGAAAGAAGAGGCTGCTGGGCCAAAGTCGAAGGTCTGGGCGGTCGAGGCACGATCGGGTTGCTGATGCTGATGTTGTGGGGGGCGATGTGCAGTTTGAGGGTGTGAAACGGAAAGCATGATGCCCTAATGTTCGAAGGTTTGAAGATCAACAGAATATTACCTTAAGGTAGGCAACGTAAATACGACTGGTGGCAAGAGATGTGGGAGGAACCGTAGACTATAAGGCGAAGATCGTGCTGTACGTACGGCAGCTCTAGACTCCGACTAATAAGTATGGCTCAGGCTGCTCCTAGCCTGGGCCAGCGGGGACCCACCGAACGAACCTACGTACCTTACCTTGCCTGGTACGCAACTGCCTGGGAAAGGGCTGCTCTGACTCCGTACTGCGACCTGCGCTCAGCACCTACCGACCTTACGTAGGTGCCACCAAGGAAGGTGGGCTACCCACCAAGACAGGAGGAGTCAAGGACCGGGCCATGAGTGCATACATCAGTGCCAAGCCCTGCCGAGCGCCAGTCGGCGGAGTTTTGTCTGGAAGATGACAGCATCTAGGGACTTGCAGGGTCCCGCCCCGCCTTTTCCAAGGGTTTTCGCGCTCCGTCAGGGTTGGATGGCCGTCCTTGTCCAATCGTTCTCCGTGTCCGATGACACACATGGTCCACATTCTCTCCACCCGCCATCGGGCCCGGACGACTCAGTCTGTGCTATGTCAGAGGCTTGCTTTTTCGGGCAGTGATCGCCTGGATCCTAGCTTTTTTGGACGGTGAGCACTCGGTACAGATAAACCCCTATCCTACCGTCATCTATCGTTCCATCCGACCCACACCGGATGCATTGGTTAGCTTGCCTGCACGAAGTCGACTGACGCCTTCCAAACAAGCGAATGGTCGTAACGAAGTCATTATAACAAGCACATTGGTGCAGTCTCATCGGCTGCTAGGCGATCGCTGCAGCGCATATGAGTGATTGCTGATGGGGCAGGCCAGCTCATACTCCCGCCTCTGCTTCAGTTGCACGGGAGTGGTACATAGGTAGCGTCCGCATTAAAATCAGGGTCCTGCTGTGACACTCTGTGCTGATTTCGCGTGGTAATGCAGCTATAACAGAGTCGCACTGACGTACCGCATTGTCGATCCCCAAGTTCCGAGAAGCTCGAGACAATCGTCTCGCAATACGACACCTTGGCCAACAGCTACAGAAGCCCGATACGCATTTGGTCTAAATGTCTGGTACCAATACATGCAGCCATATTACCTTAGCGGTAGGGGCCTATTTTTGAACGTATATCCTGCCTCCAACCGTCCTTTAACAACCCACTAATATGGTGAGCTCTACTCAACAGGAGGTGTGATATTGAAGGACGATAATCTGCGTGATATTTTCCCTGAGCTCTTTCTGGCGTTGTTCATATGTTCAAAAACAGCCCCCTCCCGCATGTATCTCCTGGAGCCTCGATAGTCAGCCACACGCAAGCGTGTCTCGCCAAGGTGCGAGACACTGTACGTAACTCTCAAGCCTGCCACCGTTGGATACTAGCAGTACTTACTACTTATTTAATAGTAGTGCCTGGCTACTTTAAGATCGCTGAGGTCTCGAAAGGCGAAGTAACTTACTAAATGTACGACTGGGATTTTTGTTTTTCTGTTGCGCAAGTAAGCAGTAGAGTGAGCTCTTTACGAATATCTACATGGGGTGGCTGAGCCGTCTGGAACTGGGGAAATGACTTACGTTCGTCCACTGGAATATTAGTCTTTCTACTGCAGTTGTATTTATTACTAGTACTTAACAGGTTCAATTTCGAGGTGCTGACGTGCTGACGTACTGATTATGAGCCCAGCACCAAGGGCTGCTGAGCTTCCAGTGTCTTCTTCACTCCCGAAATTTCTATGTTCCCCTGGTCTCCAATCGTGGATTTTTGAATGGCGACTCATGGCACGAGTCACCTGAACATCCTATTAAATAAGAGTGTTTTAACTAAGCTGTTGTCAGCTCGGCCACGCCTAGTCTTATCTCTGGTTGTCTCGTGGCGTGCCGTGCTATCTCCGGCACTTGATAGACATCTTAAACTTGTGTATGTGTCAATATTCGGCCATTCAATACTATATGGTCATCATCGGTACCATGGTACGTTCTTCTTTCGCACAGCGGCAGCTAGAAGAGCCTGCAGAAAGGTCGTATCCCGCTTGGCTCGACTTCCCAAGCTTCTAGCAGCCCGAATCGGCTACGTACTTGCCAAGGTCCCAAAGCCCTGCTTGCTTGACTGGGGCGCGTAGGCGCATCGCTGAGTGCTCGTTGAAATAGGGAACGCATGTGAAGTATTGTGGTCGGGCACTTTCGAACGCTGTCGGCCACCATTCCATTGCACAACCCCGGGCATTCAATCCGAACCCGAGCTCGCCTTTGATAAAACCGGAGGTAGTCAGTCTCCCATGACCACCGGGCCCAAAGAGGCGCTTGCAGTTGTTCCATCGCTTGATCGTGGAATGTAGAGGCTGTCAAGCTGGAAAAATGTTATCGCTGTCGCGCATTATACAGGCTTGATGTCGGTAGCGTAACCAGATAGAGCTGGGCGGTCGTTGCATTCATGCATCGAGGGCAATGATGCATTGCGGGCTGTGTCGACAACAGAAACACTTGCCCAGAGGAGCCGCTGGTTCCGTGATATCTACCGCCTAGTTCGGCGCCATACAGCTCAAAGGATACAGTACACAGCACACTATTGAATATTTATTCATGGAAGGCTTGACAGCCATGTTGATTGATCCCAAACGAGCCGCCTGTTTCCCTTATGATACATCAAAACACCAAATCAATAGCAAAGACCAGTTTCCCATAGTCGTCATGATAACACCATACAATGGCTCATCTTCCCATGGCCAAGGACACGCAAAAACCCAGGCGCGTTGCAGTATATGCCCACAGGGCGCGACGCGTGGCACGCCCACCTAAAGTTCATAACAGGCATTTCAACAAAGACAGAACGTAGACAGACGCTTAACCACCGAAACCGTACAGGGTGCGGCCCTGTCGCTTCAGGGCGTACACAACGTCGAGCGAAGTGACAGTCTTGCGCTTGGCGTGTTCGGTGTATGTGACCGCATCACGGATGACGCCCTCGAGGAAAGTCTTCAACACACCGCGAGTCTCTTCGTAGATCACTGGGAAACATTAGCGTCGATTGCGTGCGTTCTTGTTCGTTGTGGCGCTTACTGGCAGAGATACGCTTCACACCGCCACGGCGCGCGAGACGGCGGATGGCGGGCTTGGTGATACCCTGGATGTTGTCCTTCAAGATCTTCCTGTGGCGCTTGGCACCACCCTTGCCGAGACCCTTGCCGCCCTTGCCGCCTGTTGAGTATTAGCTTCTTGCTCTTCTTGGTTGCCGGCTGTTCACCGCGACAGGCACGCTATGTGCGCTCGTCTTATAGTGGGCAATGGGGCGGTAGTAGGATTGGTCTGTACTTACGTCCAGTCATGATGATAGTGAGGAGGGTTTGTGTGGAGGAGGTAGAAATGTGTGTTGTTCTGACAGGTCGGCTGATTGGACTGTGATGGTTGATAGCAGTTGGACAATCAGCACAAGATCGGGGTGTTAGGACCTTAAGTACAGGTGGGCCAAAACAACAGATCAGAACGCCAAACAGCAAAGGGCCCCACACCAACAACTCGCGACGCCGCGACGCGTCTGAGTGAGTTCCATCCCGGAAAATACCATGTGCCAGCAGGTAATTCCTGGCCAATCGAAATTCAACATTCGCACGACCGCCACGCACTCCCAGTACGCGGACGGCGCTCTCACTGAATGCTAATTGAGCAGTAGAGGCCTGCTTACGTTTGTATGCTACCAGGACGAACGTACTACCGTTGAGTGAGCTTGTTAAATTTGTGATACTAAAGGCTGTTCAGTCATGACCTCTGTAAGCACGTATTTCTGTGTGCATCCCAACTGTTTGTAGTAGCAAGTATGTCGGGATTCTCGATGTAGGACTTGCGGCGTGTGACCGTGTCAATGGCGATCTCAAGCTTGTTCGTTTTCATGGTCGTCTGCGGCTACTTGCCTACCCTATGCTAGCTCTCTCCAAGCCGCCTAGGTCCCTCATCATTGTGCAGAGTACCGGAGAATTGATGTATGCACCTTGAAATAGTTGGCTGCTTGGTTTATGGCTTTGTTATCAACGTCTTTCCACGCATTCTCCGGGTTGGTCGTTTGTGCACGTGCTGGTTTGAATGAATTTAGTTGTAATTGTAGTGTCGTTGAACAAATATCCAACATGACCTCACCACACCAGTGATATTATGTATCATTGAAGACGACAGAATAATAAGTGCCCCTGACTACGTAACTCACAATAGATGATGTACATGGAGAGCAAGGCAATATGATAAAGACCGCAATGCGACATACAGACAGTTACTACTAACACAATATCTTCACCAGTGTCGTTTTATCGAAGACTTGAGATGTCGCTTTTTTGACCAATGGTAATTCGGCATTGCAGTGAATGCTCGACTCTTTCCCAAAGCGGAGACTGCAAACTCAAGGTGGGAAACTGATGCAAAACCCAGTTGATTTTTGGCGCGTTGCAGCGGAAGCCGCCCCACTGTAAAACGCGCCGCCCAGATCAGCCGCCCCAAATCACGCTCACGCGTTCTGGGTATTAAAGCGCCCCCCCGCCTCGCCCCTCTCAGCCTTTTCCCTCCTGCATCATCATCACACCCACTTCCACACATTCACACCTCAACCATAAACAGCTTCATTACAACTTCAACCATCACAACCACCAACAATGGCCCGCACCAAGCAGACCGCCCGTAAGTCCACCGGTGGCAAGGCTCCTCGCAAGCAGCTCGCCTCCAAGGCCGCCCGCAAGAGCGCGCCATCAACCGGTGGTGTCAAGAAGCCTCACCGCTACAAGCCCGGCACCGTCGCTCTCCGCGAGATCCGCCGCTACCAGAAGTCGACTGAGCTCCTCATCCGCAAGCTCCCCTTCCAGCGCTTGGTGAGTACAATGCCATCCGAGAGCGCCGTTCGCCACTAACACACACAGGTTCGTGAGATTGCACAAGACTTCAAGAGCGACCTTCGCTTCCAGTCTTCCGCCATTGGTGCTCTCCAGGAGTCCGTCGAGTCTTACCTCGTCTCCCTCTTCGAGGACACCAACCTGTGCGCCATCCACGCCAAGCGCGTCACTATCCAGTCCAAGGATATTCAGCTCGCCCGCCGCCTCCGCGGCGAGCGCAACTAAGCTGGCGCATTATACATGGTGATGGTTTGGCGGCGTCTCAACAATACCTTTTGCGGTTCACGACATTTGCTTTGATACGATGGATTCACGGTTTGGGGGCAATCAGGCGTTAAGATGAGAACATTTCGGGGTGTACAATACATTGCGGCAAGGGCCCTTGTAGCAATGGAACAGAGGCATAAAAACCTCATGATGAATACTTCACACAACACAACTCTTGATCGTGACAAATAAATGGCGTACCAGTCAAACACACTTTGGCACCGCTCACCAGGATCAAACCGAAAAGATGCCATCGATTGAGTACAGACCGCCACACAACTCGCGCTCCCTTGAAGCAGCCGTGGTTCAACGTGCGCCGACCACATGTTTAGTCTCGCGGTTATTTAAGTATACGTCGAATCCCGAGGAAACCCTATCACTCCACCTTGCAATTGCGTATCACTCAAAGCAGCGATTTCCACTTTCCAGTCGCAGGCTTGTCCAGCTGGAGAAAGGCGGCAAGCCGGCCTAGGTGATCAACACCCCAGAATGACTCCTGCTGCCCATCGCTCCTTGTGCAAACCAGCCAGGGCACCCCAAATGCTCCATCACGAAATGCCTTCTCGGTGTTTGCTGTCAATGTTGCTTTGCCCCCGTCTGCATCGTCGCTGGCGGCTCTGCGTAGTATCTCGTCAGCAAGGCTTTGCGACTCGAGCGCCTTTGACAAATTGCGCCTCAGTTCGGCTGGTTCCTCTGTCCGGGCGTGGTGCACGAAGAATTCCTCCCACAAGGCGTCAAGCGCGGAAGTGAGACTGCTTTGGCTCGTGCTTCCCAGCGCAGCAAGTGCTCGCATGATGGGCAGGGTGCGAGGTGGGAAGTTGGGTGGCCTTTCTTGGTGCATTGGGACGTCGAATGCTGATGCCCAAATTTGACGCTCCCTGTCAATCCACTTGTCCTTGTCTATGCATTTCGATCAGTCATTGTGGCAACAGAACGGCATGAATTAGCCACGTACTTTTGATCATGATGGGAGCTGTATTGCTGCACATCTTGAACAGCCCACCGAGGAGGATGGGCACATAGGTGATGTTACACTCGGCGAAGACAGGGTCGTGCTCAGTAGGTCAGCTCCAGGTCACGGTTGGTCAGAACTTATAGAATCAGGCCCTACACGGAAAACATAGTAAGCAATGTAAGCAAAAGGGCTCACAGTGTCGAAGTAGAAGACAATCTTAGGAGCTGCCATCTTCGTTTGACGGAAATTGAGCCTATTGCCGGCGAGGAGTCTGGATATTACCTTGGATTGTGTCGAGGGCAAGAGTTGAACACCACCCAGGAAGGGGAAGAACAGTCGGGAACAGGTTCAAGGAACAATTGAAAATGAAGCCGACGATCAATTAATAATGAAAACCAACTCTAGGATCTATCGACATGCGGGGAAAGGCGATCGAGGCTACCCGATGCCGAGGTTCACGAGGTTCCGACAACAAATTATCTATCTGACGCAACGGCCCGAGTTCAGCCAGTCACAACTGATGTGAATCATTGCGTTCATGATGTAGAGCGACTCTCATCCCTGATGAATCACGCCGGTCTGTGTCAAGCAAATGTGGAAATAATCGGTGTGTCGGTACTGCGCTTCCTCCAAAGCAAAACAAAATACAATATTTACATACTTTACTTTACCGGACGCCGTGAGAATCATCAATGTGCTGTGGCAGATGCGTCAAGACATCGAAGCCACCCGTGCCGACCTTGCCCAACCTGCCCATAACAAGGCGACTGCTGGGCGTTGCCAAATCGTCCCAATCGCCATCAAGCACCGCGTCCTTCAGGAATGCCAGTGTGGTTTCGAAGCTCATCTTCGTGAAAGGGCTGACATTGCCCTTTAGACCCATGCGATTGAAAGCAGTGAAGTCGCCGTTTCGGGTCATGTAATCGGCGATGAGGTTCAAGTGCCTATTGTCCACCTTAATTCCGTGGCCGCCAAAGACACCAGCGAGCTCAGCAACGATGCTGCCGCGAGCTGCCTCCACTCCATACACCTCGAGCACGTCGCCAATCTCGTTGGTTGAGATACGGTTGGGGTCGATATAGTCGCTGTACTTCTGCATAGCTCGGAGATTTGTGCCTTCGGTATGGATGACAAGAGACTTGTCCTTCTCCTCGACAAGCGTGCAAGAGCCCACGCCCGGGATCTGCTGGACAACCGTCTTCTTGATTGCAGCCTGGACAAGGCTGAGCATGAGGAGCTTGGGCGTGGAGCCTGGGTACTCAAGATAAATGTCGCACCAAGCGCCGTCTTTCTCATCACTGCTGAAAGCATGCACCTCGTCATATGCGTTCAGCACACGATCTGACCGCGCGTTTCCTTCCTCTTCGGCAAGATCGTCCGAGTCAGCATCTTCGTCGCTTTCATCGTCTTGTGCATCCTGAGCGCGGTGATGAGGCCTCTTCGGAGCCTTGCTGGTCCCTTCGTCGTCATCATCATTCTCGCCCGTAGCATCCTCCCGATCCATTGCGCGCACCAGCGCGTCATCTTCATCGTCGTTGGGCCCGTAGGAAACGTCCTCGCCCCTGTTGGCTCGCTGTTTGGCATTGGTGGCGTCGCCATCCCCATCGTCATCATCTTCGTCATCTTCGCCTCGGTCTGCTTGGGTCACTTGAGCAGCTGTCTCGACCGTGCCCGAGCTTTGACCGATCATTGCCGCCGCATCCAGAGCATCGTTTTTGCGCCTGCGCAACTCCTTCTTCACAAGTGTCAACAGATGCCGCAGGAACCTCTTCTCGATGGCTCCCATGACGTCGTCGACCTCGATAGCATACGTCTTGGTATACTCCGCGGACGGAAAGAACTTGAGTTTGATGGTATACATTTTCGCAGTCGCATGGCCACGCCCACGGCCCACTTTCTCCTGCACCGAAACTTTGTCAAGGACATAAGTCAGAGGCAAAATGCTGATGGATTTTGCGAAAATGTCTGCATCATCCTTGCTGAGCTCGCTAATTGGATAGAGTGACATGGCTGGTCGGGAGATGGATTTGCTTGCCGTCATGAGGATTTCTCGGAGACGGGGAATACCCAATGTGACGTTCTTGGCCGAGTGACCGGCCAAATGGAAAGTGTTGAGCGTCATCTGCGTGGATGGTTCACCGACGGACTGCCCAGCCACGATACCAACAGCTTCTCCGGGTTCGACAAGCGATTGGAGGTATTTCATAGCGAAGAGCATCTCGGCGTTCTTCTTGTTGAGACCTGCCTTCTTCTTTGACTTTTCGCTCTTGTCCAAAATGAGGCCATCATTGTTGTCCTTCACATACTTCGTCATGGCCTCGTAGTATGACTCCGAAGTTGCGAAAGCATGAGTAGCAGGGCTGAACGCAGCAGTGATCGGGTCACGAGCATTGCACGCACCCGCATGCTTGATAGCCTTCTTCATGTACTTGACGATGTCTTCTTTCTGACCTCCGAGGCGCTCGCCGACTTGTGGAGTGTACCTCAGTTGGGCAGCTTCTGATGTGACGTTGTTGAGGATGAAGCCAAAATCCTTGAGATAGTTTTGCTTCGTTGTGTCGAGTCCATCTTCGCCGTAGAGGAACTGTACCATTGAGCCATCGGCATCGCGAACGGTCGTGTCGTATCCGACGGTCAACCCCTCCATGCCCTTGATGATACATCTCTGCAGATAGCCGGAGCGCGACGTCTTCACAGCTGTGTCGATCAGACCTTCTCGACCAGCCATGTGATGGAAATAGTATTCCTGCGGTCGCAAACCAGTGAGGAAGCGGTTGACGATATAGCCGCCGGCGCGAGCATGAGTCTCGAAAGGTCTGAAACAGGGCAGTGTCTTGCCGCTGACCATCATTGGCACTCGTCGGCCTTCCAAGACCTGCTGTCCGAGGTTGCAGGAGATGAGTGAAGCATTGACTCGGCTGCCCTTGGCACCAGAAGTAGTCATAGCCTGCATCTGGTTTCGGGGGAAAGGCTTTTCCAGACCATCAGGGAGACAGGCCTTTTGAACATTGGCTGTGATGTCCTGCCCGCTTGCATTCATAAGAAGATCCAGTCCCTCCTGTTTGTCATCGTCACGGACAACCTCCTCTAGGCGCTCAAGAAGAAGGGGGTCCTTGCTCGATTGACAGTCTGGCACTGAGACGTACTCCGAGGCTACCTTGAGCCCGACGTGGTCAGCAGCTACGAGTTCCCTTTTCCTTGCTGCCTCTCCTTGCTCTGTCAACTGAAGGTCGTCCATTCCGCAAGAGAAAGCCCGCACACTCAGGTACCTTGTGAGCAGGCGCCCCAAGCTACTGAGGAGCTTGCCGGCGACCGCAGGACCATACACTTCATGTATCGAGTGAATGAAGCCACCTGCGCTGGGGCCAATGTGCGATTTGTCCAGAATTCCGTGTATGAGCACACCGTCTTGGAACAACACCCTGGCCTCCTCAGAATCCTTGGATCCCCACTGTTCACCTCGAATTTGGCTGTCACCGGCCATTGATAAGCCACCACAATTCAACGGCTGAATATTCTTCAGGATGGTGGTGATGATCTGCTTGCCGGTCCAACGTGGAACAGGTTTAATGATGGCCGGTGGGATGAGTTGAATCCGTTCACCCAGAATGTGACCGCTCTCAGGCCTCAACGCGCTGTATACCAGGGAGTGGTAGTCACCTTTCGTGAACAGAGTGTCGCGGTTACACAGTGCCACGGAGACAGAGATATGATCCTGGATGAGACCTCGCAGCGGCTTGCCAGCGGTCGCAGAGAGATATTGGTGGTCTGTATCTGCAATCTGGAGAGCCTCAGCTCGGGCGACTTCATTCTGCGGGAAATGCATATTCATCTCATCACCGTCGAAGTCAGCATTATACGTGTTGCAATTGGCGTAGTGCATGCGAATGGTCTTCTCTCCAGGCAAAACGCGCACCCTGTGACCCATGATGGATGGCTTGTGGAGCGTTGGCTGACGGTTCATCAGAACGACATCGCCGTTGGTCAGATGGCGGTAGACCTTCTTGTTCCTCAACTTGGCAGCAGTGTTGCTCGAAGGGGCCAAGAGCTGATTGGCAAGGGAGATACGGTCGTCGACTGATTTGTTGCGTAGGCTGACAATCTGACCATTCTCATTCTCGATAGCGAAAGCGCCCGGCCACTTGTCGACTCCATTGATGACAGCTTGTTGCATATCCCTGAAGTTGTGGCTGGTGACTGGCTCGGGATAAGTCAATTTTTTGGCGAAGACAGGCGGAACACCAATCTCATTGGTTTCGAGATTTGGGTCTGGTGAGATGACACTGCGGGCTGCGTAGTTGACACGCTTTCCCATCATGTTCTTGCGGAAGAGACCTTCTTTCTTCTCCAAAAGCTGCTTGATGCCGTCTTCGTTGCGAGCTGCAGCTGCGCCTTGGACCGGGTTCCTGTCTTTGTCGATCAGAGAGTTGACCGAATCCTGGAGCTCAGCACAAGCCGAGTGCAGCTGGGTGATATCGCCGCGGCCCTCACTCAAAGTGTTATGGATCAAGGCGATTCTGCTGCAACCCCTCAAGATGTTCTTGTACAGATTGTTCTGCTGCGCTTCGGCGATGGATGAATCGCCTGTTCGTGCTTCAGGGCGAAACTTGTTTGGCGGCACGAGGATGTGTGTCAAGAAGAACATGTCTGGTGACACTGGCGGCGAGCTTCTCGAGGCTGGCCTGGCATTGTATACAAGCCACAGCAAGTCCTGCTCCTTCTCAAAGAGCTCCGTCAAACGGGCCCTCACCTCCATGGGTGTGATGTATCGCTGCATTTCATTGGCCATGACTTGTTCAATGTCTGCCATGGCGACGTCGTGCTCCGTCTCGGCGAGATCCTCTTCCATTTCGGCAACAGGAGATTCGATATCAGCAACTCCTTCGTCCGAGTTACGGCGCTCGTTGGGTTTCCGTTTCCCCTGGTGCTGTGTTTGGTAAACCCGAGCCATTGCATCGTGTCGCCTCATACCCCTCTGCGCCATCTTGCCTCTTTCCTTGTCCGAGAGCGACTTCTCAAAGATTTTGACAAACTTGTCTTTTCTGTATGTGGGGCTGATTCCTCCACAGCTTGCGCAAGCCCGCTTCTTGGTGATCTCTGCCAGGAATTCCTTGATCACTTCGCGTCGCAGCTCGATGGCGCCCTCATGTTTTCCGCGCTTCGCTTCGCCCCTCTTTGTCTTGATGCCGCGCAGACAGGCTTCCACGTACTTGTCGCGCGCTCGTGTGACATTGCTGATTGAGGCCTTTCCCTCCTCCTCAGCCTCACTTGCAGATTCGTCGACATCGAGGCCGAACTCCTTGCCCTTGAAGCCCAGATCATTCTCGCCAATTGATCCGACGAGGTGGGCCTCGTTGATCAGACCATATTGTAGAAGTCGCAGTTTGCAGATATACGCATGTAGGTCTTTGGCAGGCAGCCGGAAGCCTCTGCAGTAGACGCAAGCTGCGCGAAGGAGCCGGTATGCTTGATCCAGGAAGACGGGGTGGTAGACGGGCACCGGCAGTTGAATATGGCCTGCGTGTCCTGGACAATTGATCTGGTTGAGGTTACACGTCGCGCATCTAAAGGATTGAGAGTTAGCGGCTGTAACAATTTTCGAGTTGGAGAGGGTCCGTACGGCGAATCACCCCACGAGCCAAGGGCAGGGTCGTAAAGACCTCCAGGCACCGGATTCAATAGATTGTCAAAGGTGCTGTCGTTTTCGATGCGCTTTACTGATATTGCCTGGACCTCCTTGGGAGACAAGAACGTGAACTCGACGCTGTCCACGTCGGACGAGATTGGCTGTGAAATGTTCATGATGACGTTGGCGATCGAGCTGGCGTCGAGTAAAAAGGACTGCTAGAAGCAGCAGGTAAAGCTTCAATAAGCTTCAGGACCGCGCGCACATCACAACGTTGCAAAGGGAAACAAGAACAGCATCAACAGCGTGTTTTGCGTTCAACAGTAGTGGGGGACTTGCAATCGCCAAATTCCAAGACCGTAGCCTCGCAGGCAGGACGAAATTTTTGGCGGTGGAGGAAGGCAGAACTTTTTGTTACCAGCCACGGTTCACGGTGAAAGTGGCGCATGCATACTTGGCCAATGAGGTACGCAGAAAATGATACTTACAATTGGTCGGTTCCACTTGCCGCTCGCTCTGCATTGGTTGATCTCGAGCTCTGACATCTCCCGCTCGCTACGTTGTCTTCATGTTGCCATCGAGTCTCATCATTCGCGTCATCTTATTAGAAAGTCGCCGAGTTTCCCTCCTCAATAGAGCCGACTTTCTTCTTCTTTGCGTACTCACAGGCCCGCCTGGGTCTCGTGGAAGTGTCGGTGACATCCTTGCAGTGCAAACGCGCACGAGTCCGTGCCGAGCGCGTCAAGCATCATGGAGCGCTCACAGCAAGATCGCCTTGGACCAAGGCACGATGGCACGTCGCGCATACAAAAGTCAGAGTCGGCAGCAGAGCGCCTTGCCGCTCTGAAGGCTCGAGTTTCCGCAGCTATCGACACCAGCAAGGCAAAAGGAGGCCTCAATGTAGGTCTGCACCCTGCTTTGGAGGACCTGGGGTCATGGAAACCTTCAACAAAGGGCAAAGACGCCGCCCAACCCTCCTCGCAGCTCAAAAACGATGCACGCCGGACGCCGAACGATTCGAGAGCCCAGAGCCCCGGCATCCTGGGCGCTGACGGCAAAAACCCCTACCTGGACACGAAGGTATCCTCTCAACACAATGTGGGCAAGCCACGCGAGTCTCGGCAGCTCGTCTTCAACCAAAAAGGAAAATACATCCAGCAAGGTGCTGCTCTAAGGCGGCAAGCGGCCCTTGAGGCGATGAAGAAGCGCATTGCAGAACAGACGCGAAAAGCTGGCATTGACGATGATCTCGATGTGGAAAAGAACTTTGTCGTGAACGCACCGCCCGACATTGAGTGGTGGGACGAGGGTCTGGTCAACGGGTCGAATTACGACGACATTGAGAACTCTTACAACCTGAAGATCAACAGCCCGGACTCGATCATCACGGAGTACATCCAACATCCCGTGCAATTGCAGCCAGCGCAAGACAAGCAGGCGCCGCGTGAGGCAACCCTGCATCTGACATCCAAGGAGCAAGCCAAGATCCGCCGGCAACGCAGAATGGCTGAGCTCAAGGAAAAGCAAACCAAGATTCGACTGGGCCTAGTGCCTGCACCACCAGACAAGGTGAAAAAGGGCAATCTGATGCGTGTGCTCGGCGATGTGGCTGTGAAGGACCCTACGGCAGTAGAGGCGCGAGTGAATCGGGAAATCGCCGAAAGACACCAGCAGCATGTCGACATGAACGAGGAGCGGAAGCTCTCGAAAGAGCAACGGCACGAGAAGCTCAAGTTGAAACAAGAGAAGGATGCCGGCAAGGGTATCCACGTTCTCGTCTTCAAGATCAATAGCCTGGCAAATGGGCAACATCGCTACAAGATTGGCGTCAACGCGGAGCAACTCAATTTAACCGGCACGTGCATCATGCACCCAAAGTTCAACTTGGTCGTTGTGGAAGGGGGGGAGCACAGTGCGAACAAGTTCAAAAAGCTCATGCTCAATCGTATTGACTGGACGGAAAACTCTCCTTCCCGTGAGAAGGAGGGCAAGCGAGGCGTCATCAGAGACTGGCTACTTGCTGAGAACGAGAGAGGTGAGCTAAAGGACATGTCGCTAAACGAGTGCAAGTTGGTCTTTGATGGCGAGGAGAAGGATCGCGGCTTCAGCAAATGGGGCAGCCGTGTGTGCGAAACTGATGCAGAGGCGAGGGAGGTGCTGTCAAGGGCGAAGATGGAGAACTTCTGGTCGCTCGCCAAAGCCTTCGCCTGAGTCGCAGTCATCATCTGAGTGCCGAAGGCCACTACTTTCGGCACAATAGGCTGCCAACTCCATTTGATCAATCGATGCTTGGCAGCACGCTCGCATCCGAACAAATATCATCTGGGACACCCCCCTCCCCGAAACATCTACCTGCCTTTCATCCATGGGGCCATGCGAGTAGGAATCGGGGGCCGAGTGACCTATTCACTACGCAATACGACAGGATTAATTTTCACCACATACCAATCAGAGTTGCATTATTTGACGCCATGCGAATCGTGTCAACTTCCTTCAACTCAATGCAACGGGCAAGTTAAGCCAGGTGTTTCGAAGCGCTCTGAAGACCAAGGCACCCTACGAGCTACACCGGTTGTGCTGCAAATATGAACTGCATCAAGGGAGCACGCCGAGATGTACCTTGAGCCGCCAGCATGCGTGTATGTGAGCAAGAAAGTCTTGCGGCGGCCTGCCCTCGAACGCAGCTGCAAAGGGAGGCTTGCGTGAACCCAACGCGGCATGAGCGTTCACGAAGGATACCAGTTAGCTACGAGGTCTTGCGGATGCCCGGATGTCTCGTGCGTGCTGTTGTGGGCTGGATTGGACACGGAATAGCTGCGGAATTGGCCCGCTTGCTCCCGTTGAGTAGAGAAGAATACTACTTGTACATATTGATCGAGTTTTTTCGTTGTGTGTATTTGTTTCCCGCGATATAGTCATGGCATGAGCGGAAGAAGCTTTTTCTCATCAGGAGATTGCAGTTGTTCAAGTGACTACCTCCTTACACATCAAACTAGAAGGGCTCCGAAGTTCACCGTTCTTGAGAGCAGGACCAGGGCAAGCGCTTACGTAGACGACGACGTAAGTCACTTATGATTTTGTCTCAGACAGCAATCAGAGCTGCCAAGGCGGGCATGCGTACACAACAGTCGTCCGGCCTCTTGGAATCCTCAGCACGTTTGGGTCGATTTCAAACCCGTTAACAAGGTTAATTCTCAGTGTGCGTGGAAGTGCTTGGGCCGCCGGACTCTAGCTAGCATTCTCAGCCGGGTCCGTGTTCCGTCGCCAGGCCCCCTGACCTGTCGGGGCTCCGACCTGCAGCCATCCTACGAGTACGTACGGAAATAGTAATGACTTAAGATACTGAGTCGCAAAGAGCTGTGTGGACCGGCCGGCTATGATGACACTGGGTGACCGGGCCACGGTAGTACTCTATGCCCAGTTGCTTTCACCACTCCCCCAAGCTCACCCTCCCTGTCCAGGCTGCCCATGCTCTACGATTGCATGAGTATCTTGGGTGGGCCCGGACGACAGGCCCAAATGCACTTGGCCCCCAACCTAACGTTGCAGACGGTTTAACTAGCAGCTCGGCGGTACAATGAATACGGAATGAACTCGCCTAGAACCAGCGAATCACGAGTGGATGGGAACGAAGGAGCCTTGCGAATGGTCCATGATGTGCTTTTGCGGCTTCGACGGCGTCTGCGAGAACTTCGATGCGCAGGGCCATGATTGCTTCGACTACACAGGTTCTGCCCCGGGCTGTCAAGTGTGAGGCTGCGCAAGGGAAATGTCAATCGAAAAGTTACTTACCTTGTCCGGTCGCTGAATGCTGCGATCGCACCTGGCATGTAAATTAGATGTAGATGGAGCAGCGCTTTGAATACAATACAGTACTAGACTAGTCGTTGACCTTTGTGAGGCCATGTATGGTATTTGTCCCAAACCAAAAACGCCTCGCACACAAGAACGTCCCACTGCCCTAACTCGCGTCTTTGTGAAATGCCCAAGCATGATTGTGCGTGCTGCCCGACGGGGAGGGCCAGCTGCCTCGCCTCCAACCAGCACCAGAACGGCTTGGTTTCGTATCTGCATCTAGAACAATGCTTGTGAGTCATTATTGATGGAGGTGAGTAGCATCGCTCCGGTCGAGGGCGGGGGAGGTAATGGATGAGGTGGCGGTCCTGAGTTGCGCTCTGCGACATTTTCCTCTGACCGGGTCGGTTTCGCAGCATAATCTCCTGATGGAGCTTCGAGCATGCCAACCTCGAATCTCTTTGAGCAACCGTCCTCCATATGCCTGGGCATAAACGTCAGCAAACCTCATGAGTAAAAGGGGTAAACAGGTCAAGCACAAACCTGCGTAGTGTGTCCTTCCGGGCAAATAGCCGGCCGCAGTAATCACATTTGTGGTTCCGCTCCTTACTATGAACACTCTGGTGATGTCTTTGTAGGTCCGTCTTGCGCACAAATCTCTTTGTGCAATGTGGGACTTCGCACGGAAATGGGTATTCCCTGCGGTTGTCGTGCGTTTCCATGTGCGATTTGAAGTTGTAGCTTCGGCTGAAGAACTTGCCACAGCCCCTGACTTGACATTGGAAATTGGCTTCTTCTTGGGTGGTATGTCTTCGTGTTGGACGCCGCTTAGCTTTCTTCACACGACTCCAGTTCCGGACGCTGCTGTCAAGCAACGAGGCCGATGGGCTTGTGTCCGCATTCCGGACAAGCTGTGTTGGATTTGCGCGATGAAAAGTGCCCAGCACGTTCGCCTGATTCGCAGATGACTCCATAGGTAGAAGCATATGGGGTATGTGGCTGTAGGGAATTTGAACCCCGGTTTGGCTCTTCAGCGTCAGGGGCCCAGGATGCGGATAATGCGTTGGCTCATGTACGTGACGGTAGGATATGGAGCTTTCCATACGGGACTTCGACGGCAGCGAACTGCTCACATAGCTGAAAGACCCCCTTGAGGACGCAAAGGACGATGCTCCTCTGGATTTAGCTTCAGGGCTAGGGTCTGGTGACGTACGGACTAGAGGAGGGGAGCGAGTCGCGTTCCTCGCAATACCGCCGCCTATAGGATACGCCGGTGCTGTTGGAAGGCAAGGTGAGTCGTACGCGCCGAGGTGCTTGCCATAGTCTGGCGACACAGTGGCTGGCATTGTGGACGTCGTAGACATGGTAGGTGAAGGTGCTGTGGACACGTCTGGCGTTGTCCAAGAGACACTGGCCGGCACCGAATCCAGCGAAGCAAATGGGCTTCCCACGTCGACGGCTTGTGTCAATTCAGGGTCGATTAGAGGCTCATAGGACTGGGAAGACAAGCCACAGACGCTGTCGAAATCGCTGAACGTGGCATAGTCGCTGCTCCGTATGTCAGGCGAACAACCAGCTGCCACCATTGTATATGGCGGCGAATCACTGGCTTTGCGATGTGGCGAGTTGGGCGAGTTGGTCAGTGAGGGAGGCGTGAGGTCCATGGCGAGGTTTGAAGCCGGCCGTGGGCGAGCCTGGCAAAGATGTTTGTGCTGGGAAACTGCCCTCATAACCAACCACCCGAGACTAGGGCTGAATCGCCGGAACCAACCCTGCCAGGTACAGAGGCGAGATGCTCTTTGCGGACCACGACAGCCACCAGAAGCCTTCCAGTGTCGTCCGAATGACAACTTTGCTAGTCGTAGAGGCACTGAGTGGGTGACTGACCGGAGTTTTGAACAGGTCCTGCCAAGTCAATGTACGGGGGACTTTGGCTAGTGGGCGTGGTTCGAAAAGCCAAGGTGAAGAGAGAGGGAGAAGGAGAAGGGATCTGTGTCGAGGCGTGTTCCGTTTGTTGGTCAATTACTAGTAGCTAAGTAGTAAAAGCAGGTACTCGACAAGATCATCTTTCGGGGTCTTGACGAAAGAGCGGGCGTGAGATCAGGGACTGGTTATTTACTACAAAGACCGTCTGACAGGGGCTCAATCGCTGCAGAATCTCGCAAGGCAGATGATCTACGACATGGCGGACCAAGGTACATTGGCACTTGCCAGCAACGTGCAGAGCAGAGGTAGTACGTGAATAGGTAGAGTGGCATTGGGGGCGAGAGGATGCGCCTGCTGGCTTTCCCAGGCAGACAAGCAGATCATTAGATGCGCGGGGGGTTCCCAATATCGTATCTGGGCCCCCTTGTCTTTGAAGGGACGGCCATTGCACTTTTCGTGCATGTTGTTGACCCGGTTCATTGTACGGTTTTGGGCGAGAGCTCTTGTGGCCGTCGATGAGGAGAAGGAATCCGCGCGCAAAGCAGGCTGTGTGTACGTAGTAGGTAGAGGACTCTTGGGACTGACTGGACTAGAGTTTGGGGACCGATGCCAGGCTGTGCCAGGCTGTGCCAGGCTGTGCCAGGGGGTGTGCGCATGCACGCAGCACCACAGCCACATCTCCTAAAGCGGCATGAGTCTTCCGTAGGGCAGAGCGATAGCCAGGAGGAGTCCTGAAGGCACTAGCCTATTTGGCGGAACATTCGTGTTGGTTGTAACGTTCGTACTTGTAGTCATTCCATGTTTTCCAAGTTGGGGAAGCCCCGGTGTACCTAGAGGCTCGGCCCTGTCGAGGCTCCGAAGTTGCTTTGTCGCTAATTGCGACGCTGTACTTGTAAGCCTGTAACGGCGTCGTTGTCGACTAGGATAGTGTCAACATTGTTGATCTGATGCGGTGTCGCTGGGGCAGGCCTGCAGACACCTGCAGGATGCGGGCAATTTCCCCAAGTTGCTATCTTTGGTCCCCCAAGAAGCGAAACGATATGTTGTGTTGCCAAAGTCGCGCGCCCACGATAGCTGCGCAAATTGCTGGAGGACAACCGTACGTATTTACCCTTGGATGAATGAGTGATCAGGGCACACGGACAATACTCTATGCGTGCGCCTGTCTTCGCTAGGATTTGGCCGCCCGTGAGTTCGGCGTGGGCACCTTGTGATAGGTAAAGTATCGAGAAAACTCCAGTCCCTGTGTGTAGTACTGACGCGGGTAGGCAGGCGCCGTGTTTACAGGGCTGATTGTGATCTGGCCTCGTCGCTTTCGATCGTCGCCTATTGACGTATATAGTAGCCGACTGCCTTGAGATCTCGAGTCGCGAGGTGCCATGTAAGGCAAGGTGCGTGTTGGCGCGGTAGGTATTCACCGCCTTGGCTTGGTGGTCACACCAGTTGGCCGGGCCATATGCCGAATGGAGGCTGGCTGGCTGCAGACTCCAGAGTGCAGTCACTGCCGCCAAGGTATGGCGGGGCTACTGTGCTTACGTACTACGTAATCGGGCGCCATACGCACCGAGTCGTCGCGGCACGGTGCAATACAGTGCGCGCTTGCCCGTGTGGTTGAGAATAGCCGCCGCGGCAAGGATCGGAGTCGAACGGAGGATACGTATACGGCTCCGTATTTACGTACCAAATTATCAACAAGTGCCCGCTAATTAAGTAAAGCTTCATCAATGATACTTGTACTTACCTAATGCCAGTCAGGCGATCAGCAATCACTTTTGGCCTCTTCTCTTACCATTTGCGCAAGTTATCCTTCAGGAAGCATGAACACACGCTAAGATGCCCATCAGACTCGCGACCTCGTCATCATGTTGAACCCCAATTCGCGTCAGCCACGATGACTTGTCCTCGGCGTTTCCCCCTTCGAGAAGGCTGCCGCACAATCAGTTTGCCAAGCACCGGGCAATCAACGAATGCGCCAGTGACTGGATGAGCACCGGGCGGTTGCGACTCGCGAGTGCCCTCTGTGGAAACATTTCAAACTCTCCTTCGTACATGTAATTTCCAGTCTCTCAGGGGTCCTCACAGATCACCCAACAATTGGTCCATGCGCGGGTAATGATCACACGCGAAGCAACCGTTGTTTTCCCCGTGCGGCACAGGGCGGGACAGGTCCTGGAAAGCCACATCAGGTGCCCCGGGACGGAAATCCCCATTTGTAACGTATAATACGCGTAATTTGTTCCCTTCCGACCTCCAGGCTCCAGACCATGCAGCACTGCAAGCTGATAAACGAGGCGGTCAGGAAACGTTGGGAGTGTATCCGAGTATGGGTTGCCATCGACAAGCCAACTTACCAAAGCGCTATCTAATAATGGTGACAGCGCGGCTGCGCAAGATGAAAGCAAAACCTGGCACCTGTGAGTCTAATGTAATGTAGCACACGAACACACTATGATAATATCAGCCGAGCTCGGGACGTGCACTATCGCACGAAGAATGAGATGAGGCGTCTCGGGGAGAATGACATCGCTCTTAGTGGTCGAGCGATAGCACTTTGCATTGCACAACTGCCACATCGACTGATGTTAAATCATGAAAACATCCTTGCCCTTCATATCGTGTTGACCTTCATATGGTGTTGATCGGGAGAAGAACGCGCAAACACATTTTATGGCGATTCATCTACTTTACTCATGGATGCAGGTCAAACCTGGTGAAAGTATCCAGCGGACCGTCAGGTATGGTTACTGGTGACCGAGAGCACTTCTAGTAGCGAGCGGGCCGGACGTCCGTTGTGGCTGTTCTGAATCACAGAGGAGGCAGCCCTCGGGAATACAGGTAGAAAGAAGGTGGCTGTTATGGAAGACGCATTGCCGGCTACTTGTACGACGACGCCCGTGTTTCCACACCATGGACAGGCATTGTTGAGGACCGACTGGAGCTACGGAGTAGAGCCGACGGGAATGGGGCTGGACTGGTAGACTCATGATTTCCTGCAACTCTCAGTGAAACTTGGTCTTAGCCAGAGGTCGTTAGTCTCCCAGAAGAGTGTGCCTATTCAGATCACCAGTGAATTCTGCAGGATTCGCGGTCGACGTGTTCTGTTTTTGGGGTCTGCCATGTGCTGTGCCGATCGGGAAGTGTGCACGTGACTTACCTTATGTATGTGCGTATCCATAGCCTGCTGATGCATTTCAAAACTAATGAGCTGCCATAGACGGCTTGCCTTTTCGGACGCGACATCGCTAGCTGTGAAGCCCGAAGACTGACTGTGAGAGAGAATTAAGTTACCCTGTCAGGACAGGAAGTCGGCAGGTCACAAGATGACTCAGCAACTGACTAAGCTGGGCATGCCCACCACGTCATCGGTCCCAGCATGCCTGCCCGTGTGCGGTGTACCTCCAGCAAGTACGGAGTATGTGATCCAACGCGACGAGGTTCATGCTGTCGAAAGTGCCCAGCTTTCTTTGCTCAATCTCGACGGAAACTCACCCATGGCCAGATCTCCAACGTCCAGCTACATGCGATAGGCTTGCGAGCCCTAGCTGTAAAGTTGCCCAGCCCGTTGTCGCGTCTCTGTCTCGATTGCCCGCAACAATGTCGACCACTACGGAACACACATTCGGCGAAAAGTGCCGCCTCGCGTCTGTGCCTCATGTCGAGGGCGCGGATGGTCGTCCGCCAATCGAAGCCCAATTTTTCTATGCCTCTGTAATTCCCATCGATGACCCGCTCTCGGCAACATCCACTATCACAACCTCTGACGCGCGATCGGGCAAAACCCCGTTGCGGCCATTCGCTAGAGGGGATAATAATGCTTTAGAGAAAGCTTGGATAAGCCTACAAACCGAGGAAGATCAAAGTGCGCACGGAAACGCGAAGAAAGGTCGGGAAGCAACGCCCGAAGTTGAGAAGGCCAGTACCGAAAAGAGAACGCTGCTGGTGCAGAGTCTAGCTTTGAGGCACTGGGAACTTCACAAGGGAGGCATACAGCCCCAAGAGCTGTCACTTCCCGTAGAAGTAGCAGCGACTGCGCGGAACGAGACCGCCTGTTGCACGGCTTTATCAGCTGACGTCGGCGAAGAATTGGAGAGGACATTCTGCTCTCTTGCAAGAGAGATCAGTCCGTCTCTCACTGTCGAAAGTGTTGTGAAGGACGTGGTGAGTATTGTTGATCGACTGCGAGACTCTGACGCCCGTCTTGCAGAAGAAGCAAACATCAGGAAGCAGGAAGTTGCGGCTACGAAGAGATCGAGTACGGGGTCTTTGCCTCGCTCGCCTCGTGATTCTTTGAAATCTTCGACCCCAACCAGTAAAGCCAAGGCTGCCTTGCGTAGTGAAGGTGCTTATGCAGATGCTCATGAGTCAAGTCGCCGCCACGATGGCCGAGTACGGTCAGGATCTCAGCCCACAAGCCATTCGTCCAGGGCACAGACGCCTGTCGGAAGCCCGGCACAACCGAGAGGGCCCATGGCTGACGACGGTATATCTGGTCAGCCGTTCGTGCGAGTCCCTAGCAGCGGAGGACCCCCAAAGGCTGTCATTCCTATTCCGAGATATGGCACCTTGACACAAGAAGAGGCCCACGATGCTGATATTGACCATGTGGAAGTGCTGGAAGACCCCAAGCTTGAAGCCATTAAACTTGCTGAAGCTGTAAAGACCACAAAATGGGGAAAGGAGGCTATAGATGTTCCCGTCGGGGTATCTAGACTTCACATGGTGTCATTGCCCAATTTGCAAATGAAGCCTATTTATTGGTCTCCGATCAACGACATGGCAGTGGTCACAAGGGCAACTTGGTTCTACAGGTAGGGCCTATATCTTTCGAGCACGTTGCACCTGCGCTAACATTAGTTCCATAGAGACACGATGATGCCTGTGCCATGTATTGTTGCCAATCAACTTGAAGCTGGCTACCACGACCTGCGCCCATGGAGTCAGACGTGGGCCGACGAAGTGAAGTGCGCCATAGACATCGGTGCCCTAGGCGAAGAGAAAGTTGCGCATTGCCTGTGGCCAAGAGACATCACTCAAAAGACTGCCAAGTCGCACGGCAATGCTCAAATAAGTCGAACACATCCCCCAATTTCCGCCGATCCGTACTGCGCTGCCCGCTGCTTTCGAGGCGAGGCAGCTGCCGAAGGCTCTATTGAACCGTCAAAGATGTCTCGCGGTGACACGGACGTATCCAACCGGCCTTTTCAAAATTATCACGTCATATACAAGGACGACAAGGTGGCCTTCTTGCTGAAGCCTAGTTTGAGCCCTTCGGCATACTACGGCAGGCGGCCACTGTCCAAGATTATGAAAGGTATTACGGTTGGGATACCCATAGTGAGAGGCTTTGACAGGCCGAAATGGGAGCGCAAGCATGAGAAGAAGCCAGCGCAACAGGGATCGGTAGCTTCACCCCCAATCGCGTCGCGAGGTGAGCAAGGCGAACTCCTCTGCCCAGGATGCGAAGCAGAAAAGAATCGAGGTCAGGTTACCGACCTCGTTCTGGTCGCCCACGGCATTGGGCAAAAGTTTGCTGAGAGAGTCGAGAGCTTCCACTTCACACATGCAATCAACGGGTTTCGTCGAGCGGTCAACATTGAACTAGGAACGCCACTCGTCCAAGGAATACTTCGAGAGAGCCAGAACGGGATGATGATCCTACCCCTCAACTGGAGATTGGGGCTGTCTTTCGAAGAAGGCGGTCCGATGCACGAGGAGGACAAGGCCCATCAAGCGACAGACGGCTTCGGCCTGAAAGACATTGAGCCGACCACGATCCCGGCAGTCCGCAGCATGATCTCAGATGTTATGTTTGACATACCGTTCTACATGTCACATCACAAAGGCAAAATGATCAAAGCCTTGGTGACCGAGGCCAATCGAGTGTATCGACTATGGTGCAGGAACAATCCTGGGTTTGCAGAGCACGGCCGCGTGCATTTGATCGGTCATTCGTTGGGCAGCGCGATGGCCTTGGAAGTTCTTTCGAGGCAGCCAACAAGCGTCCCGCATCTGAACCTGGCACAGCCCGAACCGGAGACTTCGTTCTTCGAGTTCGACACCAAGAATCTCTTCCTCGTCGGTAGTCCTGCAGGATTCTTCCTGCTTCTCGAAAGGGGCAGCCTGATGCCACGTCGCGGCAGAAGCAAGCCTGGCGCAGAGTCCGCAGATACCACGGCAAGTGGCGTTGTCGGCGAGGCTGGCACATTCGGGTGCCTAGCAGTAGACAACATATACAACATCCTCGCCAAGGAAGATCCGATTGCCTATCTGTTAAACGGGGCCGTGGATCCTACATACGCGGCCAGTCTCAAGGTTGCGCATGTCCCTAGCACGGCCTCATCGTTCTTCAAAGCGTTTGGGGATGCGTTTCGCTACGTTATACCTGGGATGCAACCAGCGGAAAGAACCTTTGCTCCCGAACCCGCACGCCCCCCAGCATTCAGGCTCCCGTCCCAGCTCGAGCTCGAAGTACACGATTTCACTCGGGAGGAAATCGCGGAGAAGAAGGTCTTTTTGCTGAACGACAATGGTCAAATTGACTACTATCTACGATCTGGAGGTGGACCTCTCGAGATTCAGTATTTGAACATGTTAAGTGCGCATACCAGCTATTGGACCAACCTCGATTTCATTCGCATGCTCTGTATCGAAATAGGCAGAGAGCCTGGACGAGGCAACACCCTTCCTGCGATGAGAGCCGTGAAGGCCACAAAGCGCCTGGTTCCGTGAGTCGGTGGTCGAGGGGAAAGGACATGCAGAGTGTGGAAGCGGGTGCATGTTGAACGGATCGAGATACCCACAAGCCTGCGCGAACCTTTTGTTCCATGATAGATTTGTTTTCTGTCGCTGTGCAATGCTATAATAGATACAGTTGATGCTCGCATAGTTGAATGATAGATGGGCTGTGTGCGCTGGGTAGTAGATTCTATTCGGCTATGAGCTCTCACGGCGTTCCCATTTGCATCATTTCCTGGTCCAGCTCATCATCATCATATTCGTGCAAGTCCGAATTGCCGTTCTGAGGCGCACCAGATGCTTGCTGGTCCTCCACTACCTCGCGGATCCTGACATCGTCGGGCCTACTGTTCTCCTGATGCTCCAGCAGGTCTTTGTAGCTCCATGTGCTGATGCCTTCCTGATCCTTAGCCTTGAAGGGCTGCGCCATTGTGCGCAAGAACCTCTTCGCCGAGCTGATGGCAACATCGGTACTGAGATTGACATCTGAATCAAGAATAGCCTGGTTGATCCACTTTGGTAGTTGGTCCTTCTTCTTCAAGAAGCGGCGATCGGACAAAACCATGATTCCATAGTCATCTTTCCCACGCAGTACACGACCCAGGCACTGGGCTGCGTGTCGCATGGCGTCGAAAGAGAGGAAATCGTTCTCTTTGATGCGGTATGTCTCGCGCAGGAACTCCAACCGGGCCTTGAGAATACGTGATTCGGTGTACTGAAACGGCACGCCGATGCACAGCACTGTCCGGCCGTACTGGTGGTCGAAATCGATACCTTCAGAGACCTTGCCTCGCGCCACGCACAAGAGAACCGCACCACGACCATTGCAGCAAGCCGTGCGGAACGTCTCGAGCGCCAGCGAGGTTTCTTGCGCGTCAGGTGTCTCAACCAGAATGAGCTTGTACTTCCACACCTCGTCGAGGATATGCATGGACTGCCACATGCTGATGATGGATTCCATGTAGAGGTACGATGGAAAGAACACCACCATGCCGTCTGGGGTGATCTTGGCAAACTGCGTAAGAAGATCGCCATAGTTTCGTACCACGCTTGGCTCGTTGCGAACCTGGAAACTGGTGGACATGGCAGATTGGTCACTCCCTCTCGTCACTATCATGGGCAAGAACGAGCGCCGCGCCAGGGTGATTGTGTATGACTCTTGGACGACTGTGGGAAAGTCCAGCATTTTGGGGTACATTTCGAGAGGAGAGATGGTGCCCGAGGTGATGATGACGGAGTAGAAGCGGTCGAAGACTGGGCGGATGGCAATTGCCGCGTCGAGGCAAGTGAAGTGTAGGACAGGATTAGGTACTTCGGCAGTTTCGGACTCGTATGGTTCGAGAATCAGTAAGAATCCCTTTTCGTAAGTTGAGACCAAGGTTGCAAAGGTAGCCACTTCTTGGAGAGGCTGGTAGTCCTCGATATTTGTGAGCTCCAGCGTCCGGACGAGTGACGTTAATCGTTCGGCACAGAACCGTAGTGGCTTCTTCTCGATGAAGGTATGTTCTCGGAGGTGGGACAGAAATGACGGCGGTGTTTCTGAAATAACTTGCCGGACTTTCATGCGAGTCTGCAACGCGGATTAGCGAACCTCGCTAGCAAGGATTCATATCATGTACCTTGAGATACTCAATAAAACGTTTCAAAAAGGAGACAAAGTGTTCGGCTCTGCGGATGTTTCCCGGTACAGCTTCCTTCAACAAATCCTCCGGAAGTGCTGTCGCAGTAAGCCACCGAAACAGCATGCCCAAGTCCTTGTTGACATACCTGGGTTTGCCATGAAAGCGTCCTCTTGTCGGGCCTCATCTGCGTCTCGCAGGCCCTGGACCAGCTTTTGATACTCGTTCTGAAGTTGTTCTTGATCTGTGTCACGCATTTCTGAGATCTTGCGCTCCAGGTTTTGCGCACCCCTCGTAGCTTTCTGCAACGACTCATTGGTGATGTCGGTGCTCAGGGCTTCGATACACACGTTATCAATGTTATGTGCTTCATCAAAGACGACGATGCAGTCCTTGGAGAAGTCCCGAGACACTCGCTCCGCAATTTTGGGATCCAGGAGGTAATGGTACGAGAAGATGACCACATTGCAGTATTGCATCTGCTATGAAGTCAGTGATCTGCGTCGTCGATATAGTCGAGCTGCACTGTACCATTCGTCGTACTGTAAAGTACGGGCATTGCTTATTCTCCTCTCCATACCGCAGTATCCCGTCAAATGTCCACACCCCGTTGGGCACCAGATTGTGTGGCTCCAGGAGGTCCAGGTTCTATAGTCATGTGAGCCCAATGAACGTCAGAAAAGCAGCACGAGACGCACATCGTGATACACGCAAACGTCAACGTTCTCTCCACGGTCTTTCTTCTCCTTGACAAAGCCGGCCGTCAGACTTCGACATCGTGCATCAACGACGGCACCGCTCTTCTCCCGCTTGACTGACGGATGAAGGCAAAGGTTCTTTCGACTTGTCAGACCCAGTCCCCGGAAATCCTCCTCGTATCCGAGCTGCTCGGCGCGATATTTCATGAGAGCCTTCAATTCAACCAGCGCCTTTTCGATCTCGGACATGGTACCTAATGTTGACGTTAAAGAGGTGCAGTGGTAATGAGTGACGGAGACTGACGAGAACAATAGATCAATTTCCGCTTCTCTGGTTTGAATTGTTGATATGCCACAATGAGTGAGAGAAGCGACACGGTCTTGCCGGTGCCTGAAGGCATCTCCAGAACGCAATGACCTCCCGCATCCAAAGTTTCTGCACGCATCAGCTAATGGCCATTGCAAGCCTTTCCGTTCACGTACTTTTGAGATCGCACATGTAGCTTGAGCCCTGTTAGCTGCATTACAGACGTGATCTGGCCGCACTCACGCATATTGTTCTACATCCTTGTCAGAGAGCACTACTCCTCATGTAAACGGCCCTTTCTTACCAGGATATATTCTTGGGTACGGGAAAAGCACAGGTAGTTCACTGGTGTCGGTAAGCATCAAGCAACGCCGTTCTAATGAGTGTGTCTTACTCAATGTAGAACTTCATTTTGGTGCTTTTGAGGGCCGCGCGCCCTCAGCGTGTTTCTGTACGAAGCCTCCAAGGTGGTCTCGTTCGGGGTTGAATGTCGCGAATCTCAAGGCGCGATCGCGGTCTGAAGCTCACTGAGTTGGTGACGTGACTTAAGAGCTCTAAAACTGGTGCCGTACAGGGATGGTGGAACAATGGCGGCGCGAAGTCACGTGCGTGCGCCGCATCCCTACGGGTACTTCGTGCTCGTCAATGGTTTGCGCAAGCGGAGCTTCATACTGTCTCCAGGCACAGTCAGGCACAACGTGTCGTCTTCGATGTAAAGCTCAGTGCCCAGTACGAAGCAGTCAGCAGTCCACAATCCAGGCCCTGCGCATGGGATCATCCAGTCCTCGATGCCACCAACACGATAACCCACAATTGTTTCGACTATCACACGCGACTGTCGACCTGCTGTCCGCATTCGTCGATGCTGCAAATTCTGACACGAGCTTAACATCCGCCTGTCAATTCTGTGGCTTATCTTGCATCTCAAGGGCTGGTGTCAAGTGGCTGCGAGACTTGTTGAATCCCTCTCATCGCCCTGAGCCTGCTGCTTCTGCTCACCTTCCCCGGTCATGCACTCAGGTCAACATGGTATGGCGGTCCAAGCTCGGCACGAGATAGGAGCCTCGGTGAAACAATATCTCACCTCTACGGGTGGACGCTTCGAAGGCTGGGGCAGGATACACCGAAAGGAGGCTGCATTGGTGGGATCACAAATCACAGAGCATGGAATCCACAGGTATCTTAGACGGGACATGTCGCCCCAATTGATTCCGAAGAACCAGAAATGTAAGGACGCGAGACCCAACTAACTGTCTCTGATCTGCAGACGGTCAATGATCAGACCGAACAAGGTCTCCTTTCATGGACACACGTTGTCGCTGCACGGCACGCGCTGGTGGAATCATCTGTACATGTATGATAGATGATACCAGGTAGTCACTCGCAGTGAGTGACCTGGTCCTTTGAAGCTTGATTACCAACTAATCGCCCGCATCGCTAAAACGCCCGCCCACGTGGGCGTTCGCGTTCAAGCGGGACAATCTATCAATCTATGAACAAAGACTGGAGTGGAAATTCAAGGGCCACATCGAAACCCCAGATGAGCCAATAGGCTGGGCTGGGTATACATCGAGTCGTGAGGATTGGGACATGCGGGTCGTCGCGTGTCATGGACCCGAGAAACTCGCCCGCGACTGGTGCGCCTGTATCCGTACGTGCAAGTATAATTGTTCATCGGTGACTGGAGTTACTTTTCTTGGACGCTCATGTAATTATGGCGGTGTCCTGACTTGAAGCCTGGCGTGCTCTTGTCATCGTCCCCAACCAAGCCTCCTGCCGCGCTTGTAGGACGACTGGAGAACGACTCGGACTCGGAGGGTGTCTTATGGAGACGCGGAAAGATAAGGTACGCCCTTGATTCGTGCGGTTATTCAAGACGAGAGGACTCTCCGCATCAATTGACCCACCGCTCGCTTCCTCGCACTTGCTCTTCTCATTGCCTCAAGCGATCGCCTCACGTTTACGAACTGGAGTCTGGTTCTTGGAGAATCTGCTCACGATGCGGAGACGGACGCACATCAATGCGACGAGGGCGCCGATACTAGACCGCGTCACTAATATGAACCCCTCGTCCTAGTCTACGAGGCGTCTCCTTCCATTTCTCACCTGCTCAATATTCTTATTCTTCACTCTTCTCATAGCCATCACCGATCATCATCCTTGTCTTCACCATGGCCACCTTTACCAAGATCCCAGACGATGAGACGCCTGTTGTGTCCGTGAACCCCACCCACAAGATCTCCAAGATCGAAGACAATACATATGGTGGTTTTACAGAGTAAGTGGACGGATAGCTAGCAGCCTCCCACATTAGCATCTTGCTGACTCTGCTGTGTAGACACATGGGTCGCTGCATCTATGGCGGGATTTACGACCCAGGCAACCCCCTCTCGGACGAGAACGGGTTCAGGAAGGACGTGATCGAGGCATTCCAAGAGTTGAAGTGTCCTGTTGTGCGATATCCCGGAGGAAACTTCATCGCCACGTATCATTGGCAAGATGGTGTCGGGCCACGGGAGAAGCGACCCAAGAGGTAAGCCACCTATTCCACCTCCTTTTGGCGATGGACCCGACCATGTGCTAACTCGTGCGCCTCAAAGGAAGGAGCTGGCATGGCACGGCATTGAGACGAACCAGTTCGGAACAGATGAGTTCCTCAAGTGGTGCGAGGTCGTCGGAACCGAGCCATACCTCTGCCTCAACTTTGGAACTGGTGAGTCCCTCCCATATGGATGTGTGCCGGTATCATCCCACGGAAAAGTACTGACAGGGCAGGCACACTCGATGAGGCCATGGGCTGGGTGGAATACTGCAATTCCGACTCCGACAGCCACTATGCCAACATGCGCCGCGCCAACGGGCGGGACAAGCCGTACAATGTCAAGTACTGGGCTCTCGGCAACGAGTGCTGGGGTCCATGGCAGGTCGAGCAGATGACACAGGAGGACTACGCCAAGAAGGCCACCCAGTGGGCCAAGGCGATCAAGCTGCTCGATCCGAGCGTCCAGCTGATCCTGTGTGGCAAAGAAGGGCCAACAGCATGGGACTACCACGTCACCAAGGAGTGCATCAACTACACCATGCACATCCTCGGGAACAATGATGCGTCGTGCCTCATTGACATGCATAGCATCCACATCTACACAGCCTCCAGCGACCACCTGAAGAACGTGACGGCACCTCGACAGGCGGAGCGGGCCATTGAGATCACCAGCGGACTCATCGACCTGGCACGCATCGAGAACAAGGTCCCGCCGAGCATCCACAGGCAGAAGATCTGCTTCGACGAGTGGAACGTGTGGGACCCGGTGCGCGCCCCGGGCTGGCTTGGGGCCGAGGAGCAGTACACGCTGTCCGACGCGCTCGCCGTGGCCAACTGGCTCAATGTGCTGATCCGCCAGAGCAAGAACATTGGCATGGCGACGATTGCGCAGTCGGTCAATGTCATCGCGCCGCTCATGACCACCAAGACGGGCCTGATGAAGCAGGCTACGTGGTGGCCACTGCTCCTCTTCAGCAAGTACATGAGGGGTTCCACGGTGGCGTGCCACGTCCAGAGCGGCGAGTACGACGGTCCCACGCAGCCGGCGTGGATCAGGGGGACGATTGAGACGCCGTGGCTCGAGGTGAGCGCGGCGGTGAACGACGAGGGCGTGGTTTCGCTGGTTGTGGTGAACATTCACGACACCAAAGACTTTGGAACCAAGGTGGAGGGCATCACCCCTGGCGCAAAGGTCGACGTGTATACCGTCACGGGCGAGAGCTTGCAAAGCACCAACACGGAGGAGAAGACGGAGGTTGGGATCCAAGAGAGCAGCTGGACGGCCGAGGCGACGTACACCTTCCCCAAGGCATCGATGACTATGCTGCGATGGAAGCCTTGAGCTGAAACCCTGAGCTATACAGTGAATCTGACCGGCTTTGATCTGCCGATGTGGTGCATGGAGTGCATGAAGTGTTCGTCTGCAGGCTACCTCGTATTCAACGTGACATCTGGTGGCTGTGAGCAGTAGCACGACCTCCAAGTCTGCAAGACTCATTGAACATTGAATTCCCAGACACAGAGGTAGTCCTCCTCACGGTGCTGCACGCATGAAAAGTCGATGATCCACTGCGATCCGTAGGTACATCTTGGCGTGTGTTGAATACCTTGTACGTACGCCAAAGCATGTGGGCAGGCAGGTCCATGCTGATGATGATGGTCAGCCTTAAAAGGTAATGCCCGAGGGAATCAATCACTTCTTGACTTTTGTCGTTTGGTGTGGCTCGCTTCTAATAATATCTGACCTACTACCAGTTAGGCTAAGTAGCCATGGTCGGCAAGTTTGATCGCTACATGTACCTTACTCAGCAGTCCCTCCAATTTCCCGGTCGTTGAAATTTGGATGCGGTCAGTCTATCCATACTCCGTACATCAGCTATTAATTACTAGGCCAGGCAGCTGCCGGCTGACTCTTCAGCATACTAATGTGCAGCAGGGGCAGACGCACGTGGTTTCTGGTGTTGGTCCCAACTCCCAAGGACAATCGTCAGTGCAGTAAGGTACTACTGTACACATTGATGTCGATCACCTTTGAGGGCACCGCCATCGTGGTGCGTCCAAGCCGGCCGGTCGGCCCTGGCCGGCATCGATTGGAAAATATTCGCCTGGGACAGCAAATGAGCTGAACGTCCGCGTCTCATCTCGCGCCGGGATGCCTTCCTCCCTCCTACCTAACTAAACCCGTTGTGGTCTAGAAGCCTGGAAGTGCTGACGCAGGTGGAGATGAGGCGCGTGAGCCGCCCAGTCGCGACGCGCCAAGCCCCCGTTTGTGCTCACTAGACTCGTTCATTTGTCACGACATCCAGAGATTCCAGACTCGTTCCTCCACAAGTTTCCTGGTTGTCGGCGGACTGCGGCCTAGTCTACTGCAGCACAGGCGTCGGGATTGGTCCCCCAGCTCGCTAGCTTCATGTACTTGGTAGGCATCTCGGGCAAAAAGGGGGCAGGGCGCAGCGTGGTACGGTGTTGTAGGTGACTCTGAGATCGTGCAAACACCTATTATAACCATCGCGTACGCCCACTCTCACCTTTGCCCTCTCTCGTCCGTACCAACGTCGCTTAATTAATCCACCTACGCTCGCTTCTTACCTACCAGGCCAACCCCATACACTCCTTTCCCAAGCAACCACCACGTACCGCTTCGCACAATCCACCGCCAGTATGCGTGTCGCCCAGCAGACCACCGTTGCCCTTCTGGCCGTCGGCGCCGTCGCCCTCGACCAGCGTGACATCAACGAGTGCACGGACTACGCCTCGGAGGTCTATTCCACCCTGATGGACATGCCCACCCCCGACCCCTCCCTCTACTCCTTCCTCGCCGAGCAAACACAGCTCGCCACCGTCACCGAGCTCTGCCAGATCCCTCAGGTCACCGGCTCCTTGGCCGGCGAGTACACCTCGTACGTCAGCTCCGTCACCAGCTGGATTGGCGAGCACAGCGGCATCATCGAGAGCCTCGTCGAGGCTTGCAGCGACGTTCCCGAGATCCAGAGCCTGCTCAGCGCTATGCCCATTCCCACCATGTGCTCCAACATCTCCTGGGCCGACGGTGGCTCGGACGCCAAGACGACTGCCACTGTCACCACTCCCGCCACCACCACGGCCACCACCACCGTCACTCCCACCCCTGGCAGCGACAACGGCGGCGAGGATTCGGGCAACGACAACTCGGCTGACGATGGCGGCAACGCTGCCGGTCGTCAGACCGTCGCCATCGGCGCTGCTCTTGCCGCTGTCGGCGCTCTTGTCGTCGCTCTATAAGGTGGCTTGATGCTGGAACTGAGAGGGGCGCCCCTTTACTCCTGGAAACATCCATGGTTTATTCGGCGCCTCCCTATCAAGATACCAATGGCCTTCGGACTGTACATACCTGGCAGGCGCGGGATAGAATAATGCAAACATACGATAATGTCCAATATACCTCGGGTCGCCTACTCTGTGCCGCGTCGTACATGTAGCCTAGTGAGTCGTACGTGACGGTCAACGGTGTGGCAAACGCCGGTAATCGAGTGGCCTCCTCACATGTACATGTTTCCCACACGACTCCCAGTCTGAACTGCTGGGTGAGGAGGCGCATTCGTGCAGCAGCAGGTTGATGCTCATCCACCTAACATGCCGCCCGTCCGGCAGAGGATTCGTGCCCTTCGATTGTGGTGTTTTTGACGGGTCTTGACGCTACAAGATCAGCGTTTTGTTAGCACGATCCAAACCATGAGGCGTCGATCGGGTTCTGTCAAAGTGCCACTCGGGCGCTGCAAGGCTTCCTCTCCAGCTGATGGAAATCCCCATCGGCACTCATGTCAACTCTACGACGAGCACATTCCAAGTCAGTAACGGTCAATACCGTGGTGCGTTGAAGTCGGCATTGTATAGTCCTTAGGCATTATAACGCTCATAGGCGACAATTGCTGCTCGATATTGGCACCACTCCCGACAAGGATATTGCCTCGCTAAGACAGACCAGCGCTAGCGACTTTGTCGAGTGAGTACGGTATCCTATTAACCAGACTAGTCTAGTACAAGGTACACACGCACATTGGTCAACCACTACTACGAGTAATGATCGCCGGCGTCAACGTTGGTGTTGGTCGGACCCAGGACCCTGCTGTCAAGGTGGGCTACGTGGGCCACGCGGATCTGGGGATGGGTATCCGATTTCGTGCTCTGCTCTCCAGCCTCCACGCAGGCGGCGCCACGCCTTGAGGATGCCGCTGCCCAATGCGTCCGTTGCGTTGGCGCTCCTGGGTAGGCGATGCGTTTTGCTAGCAGCTCTGCCAAGCTCCGTGGCATTCTGTCTGTGCAGAGCTGTCAGTCGAGATGGCGGCCCAAAGAAAGGCTTGTGACCAAAGGTCCCCTTCACGCACCAGACCATGGCGGGGAGCTCTGGCCATAGACTTGTTACAAGGCGAGAGCGATAGCGGTCAGCTATTGATATCGGCCGCAATCAGAATACGTCAAACATACTGATGCTCCATGAGTGCACAGCTGTCAACAGCGCGGTATGAGTCGCGTGTGAAGCGGGGTTGCACATCCTGCATGCCGCATCGGCACCATTCCAAACACCAACAAGTTAGTCTAACTTAATAGACTGACGTTGTTTGTCTCTGGAGAGGAATGTAGATGACCGTAGACCATGGTGAAGATCGGGGTGCAGAGTATACCGGATCTCGAAGTTTAGGAACCCGAACCTGGCGCCAGCACCCGCCGGTCGTCTTGTAGAGAACTTTCGAGCGATTGATGAATCGACAAGCCTTGAAGCCACGGTCAACAAGTGTTCTCTCTGATAAGGTACTGACACCTTGGCGCGACGGACTGGAACTGGAAGCACCACCCATAGTTCCCAAGGCGCTAATGCAAGCAGCTTGTGCCCCGGACATGCCAACGCGGGCATCGTTGCAGCAGACTGCATCAGCGTCTACAGTATCCGTACATACTGATCAACTTGGGGCCTGCTTTTCCCACGACAGCCTGCCTGCATCCGCTCAGCACTTGCGCCGGTAGGTCACGCACTGAACTCGTGTATCCAAGCAAAGCCGAATGTTTTCGCACTTCCAAAATAGTCCCGATTCGTGAGAAGGAGAAGAAAGGTCACACGTGATGTGATTGCAATTGTGACTATCGTTCCTTCCCCGCCTCCTCATCGCGCTAGCGTGATACGGATGGTCCGTGCGACCACCCTCCACTAGCTGCATCGCGGGCGTTTGGCTGCTTATCACTCGATGATCAACTGTATCAAGATACTCATGATTGAACAGACAATGCGACGACCAGCAGACTAGCTGGGTTTTCGAATTGCCCATGAGCAGAAGAGGGAATTAGAGGAGCTTATCAAGGTTTTGTTTGCAATTGCAAGAGCTTCTGCTTCATTATACGCCCATGATAAGGTTGATGTCTAGTACCCAAGGTAGGTACCGGTACCTCCATCCCTCCTCACCTTGCGCAACAGCTCAAACTCTAAGGTGCCTGGCCAGCCTCCATGTCCTTCACCTCCAGTCTCTTCTTGCCGCTCATGTCGCTCTATCAACCCATTTGCCGTCCCTCTGTCTGACTGATCTGCCCTTCCTTTTCTTTCACACACACATTATCATTGACCTCTTGTACTCTTTGCACTTCTTGGTCGACTGGTACTAGTATATTACAGCACTTTTATCCATCGCGCTCTTGTCGGACCATCCCAGACCGCCGGTCTCGCCCTCGTCACCCTGGGCATTTGTTTGCTCCTCTATCCATGCCGCCTCCGTGAAGGTGCGCAGCTACGGTTATCGCCATTGTCCCCGCTCGAACAAGCATCTGTATCGCCCATTTGCCCTCAGCAAATACTATACTTTGGGTGCCTACTCTTCTTTTTCGGTACCGACAGATGATTGTTGCATTGTACGAAACTACGGATACTTTGACATCCGATTGATTGTCGTTATCCACGTGCAATACATACTGTACAGAACCCCTGTAAACCGTAAGTCGTCCGTCCCACTTTACGAAGCTATCCGAATACGTACGGTGACTGACCGAATTCAGTACGTTGTCGACGTGGTTTTCAGTCCTGAACACGATCGCAGGGTAGAATAAACGGCCGACGATTCTCCAGTACTTTGGAGCACAGCGTGCCTTGCTGCTCAAACTGCTCTGATATGGCTACAATCGCTCTTGAACGGCCGCTTCCTCCCCACAGACCCGCTTCGGCTCTTAACGCCCCCATAACGCCTCCGCTGTCTCTCGAGGGCTTCAACACCCCTCCGTCTTCGCAAGACTTGCCATATCAACAATCCATTGTACCAAACAAGCACATTCCCGTTTGTCCACCTGGCTCCGGACAAACAGAGTCGCTCGAAACACCCCCCGATTCGCCCAACAGTGACGATTTTGCCCGCCAACCAACCCTCCTTCATCCCATCGATGACTTCACACGCCGTGATTCTGGACCATACTCCATCTTTGAGATTGACCCCACCACTGTTGCCAATGCCCTCGATATAGCTTCCCGCACTCCCCTACCAGAGCCTGCTCTTGTCTTTCCCTGGCTACACGGACTGCACCCACACAACCAGCTTCAACAGGCTTTCTTCAATGCCCGGAAGCGGGCGCACCGCAAGGCGCCGTCATGTATGCGAGGAATCACACTTGTCAAAGCTGATGGAGACCTGACCCGATCCCGCCTCAAGGGAGCTCTGGCTCCCGAGGAGCTGATTCGGGCTGATGCGTCTACACCAGTGTTCCATGAGGCTGATCCCCCTGAAGGCTTCTCCGTGCGAAATTTCCACATCCAGCCGCTGAAAGCTGCCTTGTTGTCTGACATTATCGTTTACGATGAGTGCGAAAAGACTGCCGCCCAGGTGGCTTGGCAATTCGCAACCGCCCAACAGCACTGGCGTGAGAAGCATTTGACAGGGGATGATGGTTTTCCGGAGTATCATACCTTCGTTTGCGTCGGGGACTTTGAAGATTTTGAAGAGAATCACAGACACATTGTCGCTGTCGATTCAAAGGGCTACGCGACTGGAGAGGTTCTTGACTTTATTGCCCAAGAGAGAAAAGAGATGTGGAACATGACGGAAGCGTCTGAAATCTCAAGAAACGTATTCATGGGTCCGACTCCCGAGCTGGGCAGCGCTGAGGAACAACAATTTGATATTTTGATTGAGTGCAGCGATGGAGCACGTCTCAACCCTGAGGCCCTGCAGCTGGTTGCTGAGAGTCCTGCCGAAGTCATCACCCAGCCATACCATGATTTCCCTTCATCTGGTAGTATCTTGCCGCCAACTTACAGTCACGCCGAAGCCGACGCCCTGTTGGAAACTTGCAAGTGGATCTATCACCTGGCACACGGGACCCGGCCGTGCGGCGTCGATGGTGATGGCGATGTTTCAATGGACATGGCCGACAAACATTCGACGCACATTGTGCCTCGCAAGATCTTGATTCACTGCGGCGATGGCTATACCGAGTCATCGATGTTGGGAATCGCATATTTCAGCTTCAGCACTGGACAGCCCGTGCCAGAAGCATGGCTGAAGCTACACACGGAAAAGGGCAGGAACTTCTTCGCATATCCCAGCGATGTCGCTCTTCTCAAGGCCATAGCGCCACGTCTTCTGACCGAGTCACCTGCGTGTCGAGGCAAGACACTATTGGACATCACGAACATGGTCAAGCAAGAGCCTTCGTGGCTGCCTGGCCTCGACGGTTCGCTTCCCAGCCGTGTCCTCGATTACCTGTACTTGGGTAATCTCGGACACGCCAATAATCCAGATCTACTCAAGGAGCTTGGGATTCGTCAGATTCTCAGCGTCGGCGAAAACGCCATCTGGCGAGATGGAGATTCGGAGGCTTGGGGGGAGGACAACGTCTACACTGTGGAACGAGTGCAAGATAACGGCATCGACCCGCTGACCGATCACTTCTCACGCTGTCTGGAGTTCATTGGTTAGTGCCCCTGGATTTGGGAGTCTGCATGTGAAAGAGCGCCGTGCTAACGTTGAGGCAGATCGCGGGCGACGGAACGGAACAGCAACACTGGTTCACTGCCGTGTAGGAGTATCGCGGAGTGCCACCATATGCATCGCTGAGGTCATGCGTACTTTTGGAATGTCCTTCCCGCGAGCATATTGCTTTGTGCGAGCTCGCCGTTTGAACGTGATCATCCAACCACATCTGCGCTTCGCGTACGAGTTGCTCCGCTGGGAGGAGCATCTACAGACGAAGAAAGATCCGAATGCCCGCGTCAAACGCGAGATGGAGTGGGCAGAAATTACGCGAGAAATTGCGCTCATGAACCGACCGTATTCAAGATAATTGGATAAGTATTCACGTTTATATGCGCTGGTATCATTGCGCGCGACGGGGCGGTTAGGGGGTCGCCACACCTTGATGGCTTGGAGGACGGCAACATCAACAATGCGAGTGGTATACGAGTATGGTTATCTGGATTTGGATCGCAGTATTATTCTGGAATTGGGTTACGGCAACAAAGTGAGCAAGAGCACTTGCAAACACACGACAGGAATTGAGTTTCGCAAGTGTATAGTGAGCGATGTTGGATATGAGAAGCATGAGACTGATGACTTTTTTTTTGCGATTTGGGCCTGTAAATCCGAATATGCGGTCGAATAATTGTACACATTTTGCGACGTACTATTGCGCGTGCATGATCGGGTCGAAGACGATGTTATCGTGCGCAGAGTATGCACGAAGACGAGGCTTGGGAAGAGTATCGGCAATATTGATGATATATGGCAAGCGAGCAAACAGCCAAAGGCCCAAACAAGGTCATTCAGTGCTATAAAACCGTAAACGAAGACGCTGAACTCCGACGGCGAGCGCCCATTGTACGGAAACAGGGAGGTATCAATGTGCAAACACGCATACGTAGCACACCCGTCCTATGCAAAACGTGTTGGAATAGAAGTGACAAGCAAGCCCATGCAGCGAAAAATTACCATCGTCATCCTCAGGCTGCAGACTCGCTCCTATTGTCGTCCCCTTCGAGCACTCTGTAACAGGTTAGTCCGTAGCTCGAGCGACGGGGACTCTGCGAGCAGAAAAAACTTACGAGAATTGCTTCACCAGATATCCCTCACCACCATTCTCCATATCGATATTATATACGTAGAAGCCGCCGTCGCTTGTCACCACCATAACTTGCGGGCTGCTGCTGCTCATGGCGACGACGCTCCGTGGCGGCGCGCCGCCGCCGCCGCCGGCTATGCGAGACATCTGCGACCCCGTTGCGTTGTTGGACTTTGGGATCTTGATAAAGGCAAAGTCGCGCAGGGGCTCCCACATTTCGGTCACGGTTTGCGGAAGGTAGGATCCCACCACGCCGGCCACGCCGCGGCCTACAATCTGCGAAGAACGACGGAACATGTTGCTGAACGAGCCAGACTGCCTACGGTGACCCGGTCCAGAACCATTATTCCCACCGCTGGCAGCGTCGGCGTCGCTCCTAGGGGACTCTGTCGCGCTGTTCCCGGGCGAGTCTGCTTCGTCATAGGACCGTGCCCGCGACCAACGGTCTTGCCTCTGGGGCTCGGGGGGTTCTATAGGCGCGCCACCCGGCGTCGCATGGGTGGGTGGTGGCCCAAGCCGGAAGATGTGGACGGTGTCCGACGTGGACGACACACAGAGCAGCGTCGAGCTCAGGTTGAAGGACATGCTGTAGATGCGCGAGGGATATGTTCCTCTCCGGAATTGATATAACTTCTGGCCGCCGGGTACGGAGAAGACTCGGATGATGGTGCCCGTCTCTGAGGCTGTGGCCAGCAGGGTCCCGTCGTTGCTCAGGCACAGGCAGCTCAGAGGGGCGCGGTGGGCTTCTATCACATTGACTGCCTTCTTAAGAACAGTGTCGAAGATGAGCACCTTGCCAGACGTAGGCGACACATAGGCAGACTGCGGCGGCGCATGGGCTGGTCTCCGAGCGTTCTCGGCTTCTTCGCGCGGCTCGGGCAATGGGTAGGCGAGCAGGCAGTTTTCGGACGAGGGCGAAAGCGCACAGATGGCGTCGGGGTTCGGGGATGTATGTATCGTGTGGAGAAGGGACATGTTGGAGATGTCGTAGAGATAGATTTCCTCTTCGAGGATGACGGCGAGGCGCTTGCGGTTGAGGCGGACTGCGAGCACGGCAGATGGGAATGTGAGTTCGCAGATGACGGATCCTCTCTGCAGCGACACTATCAGCTCAAGCTGACATACGGCTGGGGGACCTGCAAACTGACCTTGGTGTTCTGTATTATCAAGTGCCGGGGCGTGAGGGTGAGTGCGACAAGCGAAGTCGAGAAGAGCATCTCGATGATAGCTGTGCTCCCTTCATCGCTGCTAAAGATTCGAGAGAACGGGTCGGTGTGATATATACGGAAGCCTTTCGACGTTGCTGTCACAAGGTCAGCTCGAGGAGCGGGTGCAAGGCGCCAGCTGGCGACGTACCGACGGCGAGACAGCTGTGGTCTTGGTTGAAGGTGATGAAGTTGAGCGTCGGCGTCGCCATGGCGGGCGGTAGCGCCTGTAGCGCAATGGCACGGATCGGAGGACCAGGCGACTGGGCTTCAGTTTGCCGTAGACTGGGGTTCCTCGCGCTTGGAGGCTTGACCTGCTGCTGTCGTCGAAGGAGGATAGTTCGGGTCTTGCGACGCCCAGTCGGCTTAGAGGTTGGGGTCGGTTGGTTGAGGTAGGTGCAATCAATACAAGGCCGGGGAAGTCGCGACCCCGAGACCTGCCAGAAGAACCTGGTCAGGGGTGGTGCTGGACTCGACAGAGATGCGTGAGTGCTTGTGTGAGGTATATAAGAAAGGTAGATGCAGTCCCGAGAGCACCAGAGGCTGGGTATCCCATAATTAGTCCTGGCCTGTACCGTAGTCCTAACTTACCTTAATCGCAATCACCTGCGCAGCTTGGCGTACCGTGACCTAGCCAGCGACCAGCCCCACTCTTATGATGCCGCCGGCCGCGCCGCTGCCTGCTCGCAGCTCTCTGCCTGTACAGGGCCACAGGCCACTGCGGGGTTGCAGGCACAAGCGCTAGGCGCAAATGGGACAGGCAGGACAGACGACTCCATGTTTCTGATGTTTTTTTCTGTCTTCGGATAGACGATAGCTTCACCATACTACACAAGATCCCTTGTAGTCGACCCCCCTTTTTTTCCTTCAAATGGTGCAAGCCCATCAGGCACTTTTTGGGTTTCAAATTACTTCTCGAACTCATATGCAACATCTGTGCCTATCTCATTGGCCTTCCGCTTACCCTACACCATCTTTCCTCGGCTGCGACAGAGGGGTTTGTTCGGGCATATATACAAGGCTCCTCGAGACTCCTTTTTGGGGAAACTCGTAAACAGAATGACCGCTTCAAAGGCAACAAAGTGGGCTGCTAGGCCAGACAGGTCACAAGCGTTAGATGATTTGATCATGGGTGTAAGTTGATATTGTCACAAGTTCTTAACCCAGGATCAATCAACTTTTGCCCGAAACGAAATTCGCTAACACAAACAAGACAAACAGCAGCAGTATTACTTCGAAGAGAAGCGTTGAGCGCCTGTACTACCCCAATGAACCACACTTCTTCCGCTTCTTCGTGAAGAAGCCCCAGAGGAGGGCCCCTCTGATCAACCGAGGCTACTGGCTTCGACTCCGGGCTATCGATGTCATAGTTCGCCAATTCTTAGAGAGACCATCGAGCAAGAAGAAGGTTGTGATCAACCTGGGTTGTGGGAGGTATGTCGCCTGACCGCTTGCATTCCGCCTACGCTCACCACAAGCAGTGACGTCGTGCCATGGCAGTGTCATGTGCGGTACCCTCAGATCAGCGAGGATGCTCTCTTTGTGGATATTGACTACCCGGATCTCATGCGCAAGAAGCGAGCTATTGTTCTGCAGACCCCCCAGCTTCGAGATCTTCTGGGCACTGATGTCACGATCAGTGAGGACGACAATGACCCTGTTCTTCTCAAGAGCGCGAGGTACTGCCAGCTGGCCTGTGACTTGCGTGAACTCGAAGCACTGCGCCGGACGCTAGACTCTATTTTACTGCTCGAAGACGCGGAAGTATTGTTCGTTGCCGAAGTATCAATCACCTACATGGACACTCCCTCCGCCGATGCTTTGATCAAATGGGCTAGTGGTATTGGCCAAGGTATGCGATAATCGACTCTGCCACACGGACAGCACAAGTAACAGTATACAGCCGAATTCTGCCTGCTGGAGCAGATATTGCCAAACGGCCCAGATCATCCCTTCGCGAAGACAATGTTACGCCACTTTGAGAAGCTCAACACACCGATCAAGTCTGTGCAACAATATCCAACGGTTGAGAGCCAACGACAACGCTTCAAAGACCGAGGCTGGGCTCAAGTAGACATTTGGGATCTCTGGGAAGCCTGGTCATCATCAATCTTCATGACAAGCGCCGAACGGATGGCACTGGACCAGGTCGAGCCATTCGATGAATGGGAAGAGCTTATGCTATTTGGGCGTCACTACTCTGTGCTTCATGCGCAGGCCTCGCCCACTGGTGTAGAGAACACAGCTCTGAAGAAGCAAGCTCCGGCACCCTTGGTATACCCGTTTCGTCTCGAGATTACGACAAGATCACCTTCAAGACCAATAAAAAGGCGGTTTGGCCAAGCAATGACCCTTCACAACTCAAAGGGGCAACCCTTTGGTGCGCATCTGTACGGAATGGGTGCCGACAGTCGTTCGGACAGCTACGACCTGTACAGAGTAGACGCTTCATCAGGGTCTTTAAAGCTCCCCGTTGACGGACCTGGGCCTCGGATGTGCTACACCTTGACTGACTTGGGAGACTACGGAACCTTGCTCGTTGGGGGACGCAGCTCTCCATCAAAGGCTTTCCGAGATTGCTGGATACTACCCAAAGGCCCCGGAGGAAGTTGGCAGAAGACGTGGGAGCTGCCAAAGCCACTTTACCGGCACAATACCTGCAGACTCGGAGACTCAAGCCTCGCTCTGGTTATAGGAGGTCGTAACGGCTCCGTGGGTGTTTCGGACGACAGCTTCCTCTTCGACCCCGACAAGGGTTGGGTTAAGTGCGAAGTTCGAATTCCATTGTCTGAGCCGCTGTTTGGAGCTGTGCTCTGCTGCTCGAGACCGCAGACGAGGGCTGGCTTCTTCGAGGGGCTATATTGCGGCGGCTTGCGTCCTGATGGCACCCTCAACCTGGACCGCTATACCTGGGAATTGGTTATCGCTGAGGAAGTGGTAGGTTGTGTTGATTGGAGTGAAGATATTGTGCTAACGCAAAGCAGCCTTTGATTCGATTCTCTAAAATTTCCTCTCCCCGCCTCGCGGGGGATTCGTTGTCCATTTTCGGCGCTGAAGTGGTTAATATCGAGGGCTTCCCTGTGATATGTGGAGGCATCGGTAACGCGCCGTCACACCAAGGGCAGACCATTACTGTCTTGGATGCAAGCAATGGACCGCTCTCTATCATTGGACTTGTGACCGCTGGAGAAAACGCTGCCGATTGGCCTTTCATGATCGGGTCGTCCATCATCACAGACGGCCACAGTCTGAATGTATTTGGCGGTGGTGCAACGTGTTTCTCCATGGGCACGTTCTGGGAATCAAGAACGCACCGCATGGAGCTTATGGGTCAGTGGGAGCTTGGGGGTTATGGCGGCCGGAAGCCAGCTCCCGAGTATCTGGAGAGCCCCAAGTTACTTCTGGCAGGGGATGGACCTACACGGTCTGTGAGTGCCAAAGTCAAGGCGGAAGTCATCTCAATTCCTCGCATGCGAGTCAAGTCGAGCGCGGAATTTGAGGCGCTCGTGAAAGCTGGCAAACCAGCCATCTTAGAAGACGTGGACCTCGGCACTTGCAGAGAGGCGTGGACATCTGAGAAGCTGATGGGCATGACAGGCTCCGAGCAGGAGGCAAGTTCATAACCTTCATGGGGTTATATATATTGACGATGTTGTAGGTTGTGGCTCATGAGTGCCCTGACGATACGGAAAAGATGGACTTCAACTCCAAGAATTTCCGGTACGTGACTGATCAATTCAAGAACATTATCAAAAGAATCCAGTCAGGAGGGAGGTTATATATCCGGTCGCTATCTACTGACAACCCCACTGATCAACCGGCGAACTTGGAGAACGACTTTCCTTCTTTAGCAGAAGGCTTTACCCTCCCGGAAGAACTGGCTTTTGTCAAGGAGAATCTCTTCAGCTCCGTCCTGAGAATATCGGGTCGGGTGAACATGTGGCTTCACTATGATGTGCGTGCTCCTAGGCGAGCTTGGGTCTTGCACTTGGCTAATATTGTGTCAGGTTATGGCCAACGTATACGCACAGGTCCACGGCTCAAAGCGCATGATTCTGTTTCCGCCGAGCGATGTCAGCCACTTATCATTCGCTCCAGGAGCATCAAGTTCCAGCCTGGATGTCTTCGCCTCGCTTGAAACTACTTCGTTACAGTCCACTCGCCCACACGAAGCAATCCTTGGACCTGGCGACGTCTTATTCCTGCCCCCAATGTGGCTCCACACAGCTACGCCGACGAGCGACTTGAGTGTCGCTGTGAACATCTTCTTCCGCGACTTGCAGGACGGCTACTCTACCGGCAGAGACGTCTACGGCAACAGAGATCTGGCGGGCTATGAGAAGGGCCGACACGAGGTGGCGAAGATTGCCAAGAGCTTTGAGCAACTCCCGGCGGAAATTCGCAGGTTCTATTTGGATAGGCTTGCGGATGAGTTACGACAAGCCGCAGGATGAGACGGACTGTAGAGGGTGTGTTCCTTGATAGTCGGAGGACCGGGGCCATCACGCACGCATAGCCCAGAACTCAAGATTGCAGTCGAAGAAGCCGAGGTGACGTGCCGACATGACGAATCATCAGGGGCTTTGCAGCCTCCACGGTGACAAATGAAACAAGCAACACTTTGGAATGGATATGCCAACGCCAACCACCCACCCCAAGGCCTAGGCCGCACGCTACGAGATCTGATCAATCCGACTGGACAGAGCTCAATACACGGAGGGTGTCGACCTCGACAAGGATCATAGATACGTAGCACTGAAATATACTCTGCACCAGGTCGTTCCCGTGCGGATGTTCCAGAGTTCTAGGCCACAATTGCGCGCTGCGGGCGCCGCGGGCATTCGGCTATCGGCGATTCGGAAGGGCCTAGTGGCGGTTTATGTTTACTCATGGCAACTGGGATGACTTGTGCGTAAAATCGTAAATCATTCCACGGGAAGGACGAGCACTGAGGTGTGTGGCTCGCATGATACATGTATGATGGCGCAGCTCATTCAATGGCTCTGTAGTAGTGATGGTTTGGTCACACGCATCATGGCAAGACATGTCTGGGTCAGGTAATAATAGCAATGCGCAACAAGTGCTTGACTTCTGTACATTGGTGTAGTCGCTGAATAGAGAGTCGTAATGTGTACAATCCACCCTCAGCTGCGCAGACCATGAGAACAGGCCCCGGCCGAGCCGTCGCGCGCTGAGGATAAACAATCAATGCTAATGTCGTAAGCTCGTAATGATAACGACGTGATACAAGAGTGGTATCGACATGCCCGCTTCAAATGCCCAAATTAACTCCAGGATATCCCAAACATCAGTCCCCTCTATGCTTTTATTACCCTTCCAACGTATGTGATGTGGCGTCATGGTAAATGTGAAAAGTGTCGTGACCGCCAAAACTCGGGCCTTCCCTACCGAACTTGTCGTCGGGATGCCAATGACGGATCACGGCGTGACGCGTCTGGCGGATGTTCTGGACGAAATCTTGCTCGTAGAAAGAACCCGATGAAGAAGTCCAAATCTTTGACTCGAGCCGCGCCCCAGGACGGACGGGCCGGTGTACTGCTTGCTGTCGAGGTCGCCAATCGAGTCACTGCCGGATTCCGAGCTCGGACTCGCTGGGGACCCTTTGCGCCTGAACTCAGCGTCCCAACCGTACAAGTCATCCGGGGGTGGCGTCCGGCCAGATGCGGAGTCGTGAAACTCCACAGTAGTGTCCAGGTGATGATACAAGGAACCATTACCCAGAAAGTCGGAAACATCCCGTATCTCTATGACTGGAGAAGGCGGCAGACTGCTAGGAGACGACTGGTCGTCTATAGCGTCTGTCATCATCGTATCCTTATCAAAGCCTGCGGCATCCTGGGCTGTCTGACAAGGGACAGCTGCTGGCACGTCGACACACGAGAGCGATCCTGAAATGGCGCTGTCGGAGTCGGGGGCCACGCCGAGGGATGAATCGACCGAAGTGACCAATGAGGCTGGTGCCCCGTGCTCCCGGCATCCAGCCGAGGGCACCGGAGTGGCGGGCGCTTGTACGGTAACTAGGGGCCCGACCGTGTCACTACCAGTCCTCCCATCTTCTTGCGTATCATTGCCACCTGGCCCATCCACCGGGCCATGTTCGGTATTGAGAGCACACGACACACGACGACCAGGGTGAGGCTCCTCCCATGAGGGAACAAAATTGAAACGTCGTCGTCGTGCGGAAGAATGAGAAGTAATGGAGACAGACACGGCCTGTGACCCTCATAAGGGATTACTGTGTCGCGGCACGTCGCCGTTGTTGGACGTCGGCATTGGTCGCTTGTTGTTGTTGTTGTTGGACCCCTTGCGATGGAAACCGAGTTTGGCGCCCATCTTCTTCCAGCCCTTGTTGTGTGCTGCCATGGCGCGCTGGAAGCCACCAGGCGAGTGCGCCCAGTCGTTGGGAGTAGGTGGTGTCGTGGGCGGGGTCATGGGTTCCATGACCGGGGGAGAGTTTCCGTCACTGTCGTCCGTCAAGCCTTCTGAATCGAAGACGTGGTTGGATCCCGAGCGAGAGGCGACGCCGCCCACATTGAGGTATGGAGGATAGATGGGTGATCGCGCATGCTCGTGGCTGTGGTTGTCGAGGTGAAGCGGGCTGACGGATTCGAGGAAAGGAACCAGCAAAGAATCGTTCATCAACTCGTGCACAATGCGCCCTGCCTCCTCGAGGTGCATCGGATGCGGCGGTTCAGGCGTTGCAGGAAGACGGAGCAATCGATCGCGTACACGAGACGGAATGTTTACCTCACGGGGTGAGCATGGCGCGATGTAGACTTGCATCAACTTGTCCCAGAGGTCGCACAACTGAGCGCGAGCGTGTGGGTCGGAGGCGCAGTCGGCTTGGATTTGGTCGTGAACGGCTGCGTATCGCTGCAGGTCAAGAGTGAATTCAAGCGTCTCCATGCAGTGATTCTGGGAAAGGTACGCGGTGAAAGCACTCAGAGTCCATGGCGGAGGAGCCACATCCAGCAATATCTCCGTTAATGTAGGCGGGTTCGACCCCATGTCTGATCGTGGTGAAGAGGGAGAGGAAGTGAAGACGCCACTGGTGCGCCTGGAATCCGTCACATCAAAAAGGGTAAAGTCCTCGAAGGCAGACGAGGGCCTAGGCGAGGATTCTTGAGAAGCCGGCGAAAGAAACGACGTTGGCGGCGAGCTCAAGGTAGTCTGAATCATTGCCATCAAGGCAATCAATCCAGCTTCCGAGGCGGCGATCCTGGAGAGGCCGTATGCTGCGCTGTTCCTTGACTGCTGTTCCCCGAAGTGTTCTAGGGAAAGGCTCGTGTGGCGGACCGCGAGACTGCGTGAAATGATTCTCCCAATTGCGTTGCATCCAAGGGCAACAGAGAGTTGCGAGAGGTGCCAATCCCAAGAGAAATTCCTCCAGGCACGTGAGACGGATCGATGTTGCGTGGCTCGGGATGGATCAGTCGTGCTGATGCTGTAGAATGGGTCGCTAGAGCTTGCTTGGATGTCGGTGGTCAAGAGCGTTCGAGAGAGTGTGTGTGTCGGAAAGGTCGCCTGGTTTGAAGGGTCCTTGAGAAAGTTAGAAAGCGCGGATAGCAGGGGGATCAATCGGAAGCAGAGAGAGACGATTGAGATCTCGGAGAATAAGACGGCAGCGTGGACGATATACACTGTCTCCCTCCCCCCAAGGCTCAATCGGCAGATGAGTGTACGGATAGGTAAAATCCACATACGTACCTGATTGCAACTAGGATGAGCACAAACGAGAGGATGAAGGGCAAGCACAATATTAGAAAGGGAATAGTTGGTGTGATAGAGTCAGTGAAGATGGTCAGATGAGAGGGAAGAACGAGAGTTGTCACGATTCGTTTTGCCCGCGAGAAGAGAAGAGAACCAGTGGTCGACCGTCCAGTGCAGTCAGTGCAGTGCAGTGCAGTGCGTTCACCAGCGCGCAGACAGACATCAACCAGCATGAAGTGTGTGTGGATAGTCAAAACTCACTTGCAAAAGCCTCCACGCCTGGCTCCACAATGTAGCGCATGACTGGGGGGACACCCTTGGAAAAAGAGGGCGCTCTTGAGCCCCTCCTTGGCCCTTGCTTGCCTCCATGTCTTCTCGTCTTAGCACTGTGCAGCCTGCGCGCCCTACGGAGGACGAATGTTGATCGCTGGGCGAGCTCCGTCGACGCCGTCGTGGATCGTGTTTCGACCACGGAGCATCCATCACATCGCACGGACAGTCATCTTACACATGGCTATTCAATGAGACAGGTATCTGAGCGTAAACTCTGCTCGTTGTGCCCAGCCTCCACGAAGCCTCTCCATTCGACCCGTCATCTCGAACAATCTACCCTGATGGACAGACGATTATGGGCTCACTTGGAGGCGAGAATGGACGAGTCGGCGTTAGCAGCGTCAGCATGATGCGCGGGGCGTCCATTGATCGTCCGCAACGCCAGCCACTGGCCCCCAGCAGACACGGAAGCGCGCTAGAAGTCAGTCTGGAACGGAGGCTGCTCCTGGTGGCGGGCGCCTGGCACTGTGCGCGCAAGCGTTGCACTATGTCAATGCGCTCGCTGCCCGGAAGGCGCCGGCTCACCTTCTAGAAGACTTCCAAGTAGATCCTGAGAGCACATGGGCATCGCCTGATTGGTCGCGGGAGGTCTCATGCCTGGGGTTGACCAGGCGCTAATTGCTTGGTACGTGCACACGCACGGTGCCCCAGCGTTGCTGCCACACCCCGCCCGCAGCCTGACAATCATTACTGTCCAAGTACGTACTTGTCATTGTTCGGCCTGACACTGTGTGCGCCGTGTTCACTGTTTGCGGCGAGGCAAGCATGCGGTGAAGCTCAGTCTCTCGCAGCGGTCTGGATCTGTAGGACATCAAACCGTGCAGCGCGGTCGGGAGCACAGTCAACAGAGTGCACCGTACGGTCCGTACACGGGACAGCTGACACTGATGAATGGCCCATGCTCCAGTCCATGCCGGCCTTCGCGCGGGTGCGTTGGAAACGAGCAGGGCACGCGCCCACTTGCGACATTCATCAGGACACTTTTCTCCCAAACACTAGTCCGTGACACTGTGCTGCTGCCAAAGGAGTTGGGGGATAATGCCGATCGCTTAGGTACGTAGAGCGCTGGCGATGATGCAGTGCCCAACCACAGGTGGGTAGCCTAGTAACAAGTAAAATGGGGCAGTCGCGGTGGGAGACGCCAGAATCAAGCCAGTGTGACCTCTCAAATGCTCAAGAATGGCAGGTCGTTTCCCCATTCTACTGCACCTCATCGAAGCCAATCTGGCTCCATGTCTATCGGGATCTGAAGCGACCGGTAATAAGATCAATGCAGCTATCACCACCGTGCCATGCCATGCCCTTTCGCGGGAGACCGCATCGCGAAGCGGAAAGAAGGAGGAATAGAAGAAAAGACGATATTACCTCTTCCCCTGTATCCGTAGGCTGAGGATTTTCAAATTGTGAGTGCAGCGGACTGTGCAGTGCCGCTGGTTGGCATGCTATGATTGCCACCGCTGGCTTGTAGCCGCTCGCGCGCCCTTTGACCATCACCTGCCCCTTGCTGCTCTTGTTTGGCTAACATGTCATTTCACAGGTCTCAGAAGCGAAAAAGGCCTCATGGTTGATTGCCCGCACTGACAGAGACATGTGCTCCGTGTTGCTGGCCACATCTCCTCGCACGGAGCCCAATTGCTTACACCTGGCCCGTCGGATCGAGCGTCATTGCGTGCCTGGAGGCGCTCGTGCTACATACGTAGTAGGAGCAGGCACATAAACACCTGTGATGATGAGCCTACCTTACAGCGGGGCTAGGCTCGATTGAGATTCTGCCGTTAGCGGTGAAAAGGTAACACCGGAAGGGTGAGAACCTGA